GAAAATCGACTCATTGACTGAGAGGGAGAGGGGTCTATCTTTTAGGCATCCTGTGAATATTTCCAGTTTAATTCTAGATGTCTTCGGACTCCTATGATAGTTGATGATGAGTCCCAGTTGTAAAACAAATAACAGGATGAGAGGAGGATGCTGAAAGGGTGTTTGCAGGTCTTCGTTAATGACAGCAGGTCATTAGTGAATGACAACAGGATCTATCGTAGCTTTTGTTTTTGCTGAGGTCTTATGTTATTAAGGTGAAACCTTTACCCACTCCCCTCCTCTCTATCCCAGGGATTATCATACAGGCAAGTCACCCTCCTTACCTCTCCTTGACCTGACCTTCTGTGAGGGTCTTCTTCAGGGGCTCGGACGTCTAGCAGCTTATCTGACCACTTTGATAAAGCCGGTTACAAATTAGCCTACACGACTTAGGCCCATATTTGGTGTTCGCATTGTGTTCCAATTTCATTTAGGATTTTCTTTTTTTTAGTTTGAAGACAATGGAGAACACAAGTCATACAATTTGAAAGGTACAACTAGTCTTGTATACCAGCAGATAAAATATGTCTGTGTTCCTGTCATAAGAGGATTTCAGCATACCCTACTACACACAGAACATTTTCTCAACACCCTCTTTAAGCCAAAGCCTTTTTTTATTCTGTTGACATCGAGTCGCAGTTTCAGATGAGGTCATTAACGGTCTTGTCCTTACAACTGACCCATTTTTGAATACAGCAACTTCTGCAGTTGTTGCAGCAATGATCAGATCACAACCCTCTCCTCGATAATCAATGAAGCTCTTCCTGATGATGACTTTGTCAGTATGGCAATTCATTCTGGAAAATGTATTTAAAGCAAACGTCAATCTTTATGACGCTGTCAGGTTAGATCAGTGCTCTTGGCGGTCTTTGGGCCATTATTAGGTACTTCAGTTGGGACTGTTGGGATATTGTTTTCTGAAGGGATGATGTCATCTGCGTTGGCTTGCAATTCTGTGGCCTAGCCTATGTTAATCAGCGAGAGAACTCCCACAAGGAATGGGAAAGCGACCAGCCCTGCCTGCTGCAGCTTAAAGGGCACCATCACTTTTATTTGGTTCCCTCAATTTCAGACTTCAATAAATCCACTCGTTTTTTACACCTTACCAGACGTGTCGACTGTTTCCAAAATACCGTTTTTTTTTACAAGACAAACTTCCCAGCAGCCTCGTGAAATGCGTGCTGTGGAGCAGTAATAGACTAATCAAACCAGGATGAAGTGGGATTGGCAGGCGTCTCCTCAGTTCACACCTAAAAGCCGATGAGGGGCTTTCCTGGCAACCCGTCATTCAGGACAACTCCTCTTGAAGGACATGGGTTGAGCCTAAATTATGTACGCTATGCTTAGGCCTAATCCTGCCTGAATGCACCTACTCCCATAATGTATACAAGGTCCATTTCCAAATGGAGAGGCACCAAATGAAACATTCAACTGACAGGCCAATTAAGTTGAGACACAAGGGGCTCAGCAGGAGAAGTTAAATGAAGGAGGAGTTGGTATTCTCTGGGAAGAGTGGAGCAGACCCCATTTGGCAGGAGGGCAGGGTAAAAAAAAAAAAAAAGAAACGCCTATGGCCCCATGTGCTGGCTTACAGCCCTTTTACACTCCTACGTTAGACTCGTGCAGCTGTTCCATGCTATTGGTAAATAAGCGAATCATCCCCCCCAACTCACTAAATTGCACTGGAAAACAAATGAACACGCAACCCACTGACATTGTGTGGTCTCTCGCTGTGCGCTTGAATGCACATCAGACACATGATGTACACATCGACTGCAGCTCCATTCATGTGCCACGAGCTTAGTGTTGTGATCGGTGAGGGTGGGTTGTCAATGTCTGGAATAGCCCCTGATCCTCTTAAATGATTACGGAGGCAAGATGATGACCTGCGTGGGGAACATGTGGCCAGTCTCCCCCTGCTCCCTCATCCTCTGTGTGTTTATCTTCAGGACTATAGAGGCTTGGCTAATGTCCCTCTACTTCATTAACCTCTTAAGGATCGGACCCTTTTTTTCAATTTTCGCCTAAAATGACATACCCAAACCTAACTGCCTGTAGCTCAGGACCTGAAGCAAGGATATGCATATTCTTGGTACCATTTGAAAGGAAACAGTTTGTGGAAATGTGAAATTAATGTAGGAGAATATAACACATATAGATGGCCGGGCGGGGTGGGTGTGGAGCCAGAGATAGCAGGGGTTCAAACTGTAGAAACCAGTTATTTTGAATATAAAAATGGATTTTATCAAACAAAACTATGCTACATTTGATCTCTGGGACCCTTAGGATGACAAATCAGAGCAAGATTACTGAATGTAAGTTCATTATTTACCTTCAGAGGTGAATGTATCAAACCAGTTGCCGTGATAAGTGTTTTGTTGTTGTGCACTCTCCTCAAACATAGCATGGTATTTTTTCACTGTAATAGCTACAGTAAATTGGACGGTGTAGTTAGATTAACAATAATTTAGGCTTTCTGCCCGTTGAAGACATGTCAATGTCCTGGAAAGTTTGCTGTTACTTACAACAGTCATGCTAATCACATTTGCGCACGTTAGCTCAACCGTCCCATATACGGGACACCGATCCCGTAGAGGTTAAACCTTCCCATTACTCCCTCACAAAGGGAGACCCACTATTTCAATTCATTTAAAGGGCCGTCTTGGCAGGAAGCCAATAAAATTGTATTTGTCATATGCTTCGTAGACAACAGGTGTGGACTAACAGTGAAATGCTTACTTACGGGTCCTGTTCCAACAATGCAGAGTTAAAGATTAGATCAAAATATATATATATTTGCGACGCAGTGAACAATGAGTAAAAATAACATGGCTGTATATAGGGAGTAGAAAATAACATTGCTATATACAGGGAGTACCAGTACCGAGTCAATGTGCAGGGGTATGAGGTAATTGAGGTAGCAATGTACTGTACATATAGGTAGGGGTAAAGTGACTAGCAGCAGCGTGTGTGTGTGTGTGTGTGTGTTAGGGTGTGGGTAGAGTCCAGTGTGTGTGCATAGAGTCAGTGCAAAAAAGGGTCAATGCAGGTAGTCCGGGTAGCCATTTGATTAGCTATTTAGCAGTCTTGCTTAGAAGTCTTATGGCTTGGGGGTAGAAGCTGTTCAGGGTCCTGTTAGTTCCAGACTTGCCGTACGGTAGCAGGGAGAACAGTCTTGGCCCTTCCTCTGACACTGCCTGGTATAGAGGTCCTGGATGGCTGGGAGCTCAGCCCCAGTAATGTACTGGGCTGTACGCACTACCCTCTGTAGCGCCTTGCGGTTGGTGCCAAGCAGTTGCCATACCAAGCGGTGATGTAGCCAGTCAAGATGGTGCAGCTGTAGAACATTTAGAGGATCTGAGGGCCCATTCCAAATATTTTCAGCCACCTGAGGGGGAAGAGGCGTTGTCGTGCCCTCTTCACGATTCCCATTGAGAACTTGTAGTCAATCCTCAAGAGGCGGGTGGACAAACAAAAACCCACAAATTCTGACAAACTCCAAGCATTGATTATGCAAGAATGGGCTGCGATCTGTCAGGATGTGGCCCAGAAGTTAATTGACAGCATGCCAGGGCGGATTGCAGAGGTCTTGGAAAAAGAAGGGTCAACACTGCAAATATTGACTCTTTGCATAAACTTAATGTAATTGTCAATAAAAGCCTTTGAAACTTATGGAATGCTTGTAATTATACTTCAGTATACCATAGTAACATCTGACAAAAATATCTAAACACTAAGCAGCAAACTTTGTGAAGACCAATACTTGTGTCATTCTCAAAACTTTTGACCACGACTGTACAGTACCCTTGGAAGAATGTACACTATGTAGGAAGATTTTCCTTAAAATAACACAATTCAAACATTGGCTTAAAAAAAAGGCCACAAAACAACTTGGGGTGGTCAGTCCATTGGTTAGACTTTATTGAAAAGAGCCCACACTTAAACCAATCTGCTAACCAGGATTAATAACTGAGCTAGAAGATTGTTGATTTGGATTAATTTACCCAATGTACCATGTACAATAATGTACCAAACAAGGTTTACATTGTGAAGCAAAAACAAGCTTGACTGCATATTCATTCAAACATTAATTTTTGCAGGACCCAAAGGTCATTGTTGGAAGACTTGTCCATGAAACTCTGTAACCGGTTTTGATTGGACAGGGCTGCCAAGAGAGAACGGGCATTGTTCGAGTCTTTCAGCAACCGCTGGAGAATGTGCGTGGCAGCGCCCATGTCAAGTGTCGAGCCTTGCCATTTCCTCAGTGACACTTGCACATTCATATCAGCCAACCCAGCAGCATAAAACACATTCTGTTTTTCAACTCCTCTCTTTTCATTTCTCTCTCCCTCCCTCGCATTGACATTTGGTGGTGGTGTGAACGCGCATGCTGCCCTTTTGGTCCCTACAGGGAGGCATTCTCTCAGCTTGCGCATTGGGGCCCCAGATGCAGTGCATTCTAGAGACGAGTGCTCCTTTTGTTCACTGCTGTCAGCCCCATACGCCTCCCTACTCAAATAAAAAATCAACCCCTTCTCTCTTTCTCCCCCTCTTTGTTGTATACTGTCCACAAGTTTAAGTCTACTGATCTCCTCCAGGAGCAAGTCTTGCCAAGGGTTCCAACTATGGCAGTGCTTGTCACCTTTTTAGCAAATCAGGACATGTGCACTGGCCTGGGAACCCAGATAAGCATTAGACAATGCTAACTTTGGTCCAGCCACTACTCTGAGGGAATCCCAGATCAGGGACAGTCACAATGTGTCATTTGAACCCTGGCCCTTGCCCTTTTCTCTTCAGGCTTCCCCACACCAAACTTTCCCTTTGCGTTCATGTTTTTTTTTGGGGGGGGGTTGGGGAAGGAGGATGAGATGAGGAAGTGGCTGGTTCCCCTGCCCCCTAGCCCTCTCCATTTCCACTAGCTCCTCGCAGGGAGCTCCCAGGGCAGGCTGCAGAGTTGGGGGATGACGGACGCGAGGGGGGGTGGTGGTGTGTGTAACAATGGGCGCTTTGTGAGAGGGGGACTGGCCGTGGCAGGAGTGGGGGGCCTCCGCAGCGCTGAGCTGAGCAGAGCCACTTCATTAGTCAAGGTTCTCCCTCCTCCTCCCTCTATTCTCTCTCTCCTCCCTCTGTCATTCTCTCCCTCGCTGTCGACATAACACACTCTGAAGTCTGAAACCAGCCAGTAGGAGCCTGCCTGGTTTGCGCTGCGCTTTCTGCTTTCCGGTCAGAAGCAGGGTGGAGAATAGTTTTTCAGACTATCTGGGGGTTCTACGCAGCTCTTTTCGTACATGACTACTGTCTTCCTCCTGTCCTAAGGTAATTCTGCTTGTCTGCACTGCTGTCATCCTGTCCTCTGCCGAGAGCAAAGCATCACAGATGAGACATGGATTGATTTATTTCATGTGTCAGAGTAACTGAATGCAATTGTTTTTGTGCACGTAAAGAGCTGTCTATCAAATGACAACTGCGTATTAAGTAGCTGAAATGTGGATCTATGATTAGGGTTGCAAAATTCCGGGAACTTTCAATAAATTCCCTAGTTTTTCAGAAATCCTGGTGGAGGATTCTGGCTTTTCTGCTTCTTCCCTTCTGAATTCTATATATATGCTTAGTCATAACATAAACATGTAGATCTTTGAGTCGTCATCTCTTTTAAGTTACAGTGCTTTACGGCTAATCTAGATCGTTTCATTCGTTTGTCACTAACCTATATCATGTCATTTACTTGACACATGGTCCCTGGCTCATGTCCTTTTGTTCTGGCTGGAAGGTGCAATAGATAACATGGACTGATGCTGAATCAATATTGTCCCATCCCATTCCGGAACTTTGCAGACTACATGCTAAACAGCCCTTTAGCAGAATGCATTTCAAAAGGGTTCTTTCCTAGACGAGAGAGAACCTCTACTGTTAACTGGGCAAAGTTACAATGACGAATGATATGGAGATGGTTGCTACTGCCAGATGTTTCTCAGCCCTGTGGACTGTATCATCCTCACCATGTGTGTCAGCTGCAGATGAATCCGATGTTCTGGTAGTGCTGTCTTTGTTAGCACGTGGTGGATAGGACATGATGATGCGTGTGGATGCCTGAATGTGTTGCTATAACGGGTATATAATCACAAAGCAAGATCAAGGAGCCAGCGAACTCTCCTTAATGTTCTTCTCAAACAACTCCTATATTTCCTATAAGAATGGTGATTTGATACCCTTAGTACTGTAGCCCATGTTCCAATGCTGTCTGTTTCAGGATGAAGAGGTGAATCTCCTCTGATTGCAGTGATGGCAGTGCAGGCTGGCATACAGGTAAGGATATTACTTATTATCATGAACATACAAGGATTTTTGGAATGTTTTGTTTTTTGTTCAGAAGGGGTAACTCCTTTTCCCTCAAAGGGCCAGTCCAAATACCGTGGCCCCTATCCCTCCTGTATTTGCATATCTAAAGGATAGGAGTAGCAGTCAGGTGGAAACAAAGTGGCTCGCCAGTTTAGGACCCCTCACGAGTCATTCAAAACCTCTAATCGCTTTCCTGATACCAATCCAATAGATTTACTGTTCTATTACTCCAGCAACATAATCTGTTTGCTCTCACAGCTGTCTGATATCTGAGGAGGCCAATAAGACGCTGTGGGCTGGGCCGTAACTACATATGAGGACACCGAGGTCTGGATCTCGTATAAAAAAAATACTAATATTTTATTTTCTTGAACTCAGTCAGGGTCTCAACTAACTGTTGAGTTAGAATAGTAGAATACACAAGGTGTAATTTCGAAACTTGGTTGTGCATCAGCAGTTTTCCAGTTATGTTCTCCTGAGTGGCGCAGTGGTCTAAGGCACTGCATCGCAGTGCTAGCTGTGCCACTAGAGATCCTGGTTTGAATCCAGGCTCTGTTGTGCGGCGGGAGACCACCACAATTGGCCCAGCATGTCCAGGGTAGGGGAGAGAATGGCCGGCAGGGATGTAGCTCAGTTGGTAGAGCATGGCGTTTGCAACGGCCAGGGTTGTGGGTTCGATTCCCACGGGGGGCCCGTATGAAAATTTTTTTTAAAATAAAAATCTAAGTCGCTCTGGATAAGAGCGTCTGCTAAATGACTAAAATGTAAATGTATGTTACTCAATGATAGTCACTCAATTAGCCCATGTCAGTATTTTTTATATTTTTTATTGGATAAGTCTAGTTCGTTTAGCCAACTATCTAATCATGGCCGAATTACCGACTGGGCACGCAGGGCACGTGCCCAGGGGCCCTGACTTCCAGGGGGCCCCCATAGTTTTGGTTAGTCACTCTCACTAAGATATTATATTAAGATGGCATAAGTTATGGCAAAATGTGTATAATTGCAGGAAATTTGTAAATCTGCCCAAAAATTCTCCCCACCCCATGGCAAAATGTGTAGAATTGCAGGAAAGTGCCTGTAAAACTAAAATAAAAATTCTGTACAGTAAACTAATTGGGTGAGTGGTAGCCTAGCGGTTAAGAGGTTGGGCCAGTAACCGAAAGGTTGCTGGTTCGAATCCCCTAGCTGACCAGGCGAAATCTGTCTGTGCCCTTGAGCAAGGCACTTAACCCTAATTGCTCCTGTAAGTCGCTCTGGATAAGAGTGTCTGCTAAATGACAAATGTTTACTTTTTGTTAATAAAATACTTTTGCTGCTGATAGTTTTTAATCCCAAGGCTGAGTTAATGTGTAGGGGCTAATTGTATAGCTAATAGGCTATGTGTTTGTAGATCGACTGAGGTGAATGAAGCTACAGCAACCAATGTGATAATGGCTGGGGTCATTTTTGCTGTTCTTCAAATAGCATTTTTGAGTTTTTAAATGGTATAGAAATGCAGTAAATGAGCTTCAACTTTCCCCCCTGTCCGGACCTCACTAAAACTCAGACCCTGGTTACGGCCCTGCCTGTGGGGTTTCTGCTCTCTGTTTTCTAAAAGGGTCAAAGGTCAACAAGAACCATGGGAAGATTTCACAACTAGGAGGAGCATAAAGGACTAGCAGGCGTAGCTCTGGCCCTGTTTGAATCCTTCCTTCTCTTCCTTGAAGTTAGCACTGATCTGATGTAGGGCTGGGAATTGCCAGGGATCTCGCGATACGATATTATCATGATACTTCGGTGCCGATACGATATGTATTGCGATTCTCACGATTCTATATGTATTGGGATTCGATACTGTGATTTTTTATTATGCTTTGATGTTCCAAACATATTGCTCACTATAATTCTGCTGCAGAGGTACAAGAGAGCCATGAGAAAATAACTGTTGGTCAGTCATTTAAATAAAAGTTCTGAAAACATGTTGGCTTACCAGAGTTTTGGTGCAGGTACAGCTAAAATATACAGTGCATTCAGAAAGTATTGAGACACCTTGACTTTTTCCACATTTTGTTACGTTACAGCCTTATTCTAAAATGGATTGAGTTGTTTTTTTCCTCATCAATCTACACACAATACCCCATAATGACAAAGCAAAAAACTGGTTTTTAGAACTTTTAGCAAATGTATGTATGTAGTATGTACAGTTGAAGTCGGAAGTTTACATTTAAACTCAGTTTTTCCCAATTCCTGACATTTAATCCTAGTAAAAATTCCCTGTTTTAGGTCAGTTAGGATCACCACTTTATTTTAAGAATGTGAAATGTCAGAATAATAGTAGAGTGATTTATTTCAGCTTTTATTTCTTTCATCACATTCCCAGTGGGTCAGAAGTTTACATACACTCAATTAGTATTTGGTAGCATTGCCATTAAATTGTTTAACTTGGGTCAAATGTTTCGTGTAGCCTTCCACAAGCTTCCCACAATAAGTTGGGTGAATTTTGGCCCATTCCTCCTGACAGAGCTGGTGTAACTGAGTCAGGTTCGTAGGCCTCCTTGCTCGCACACGCTTTTTCAGTTCTGCCCACACATTTTCTATAGGCCTGGGGTCAGGGTTTTGTGATGGCCACTCCATACCTTGACTTTGTTGTCCTTAAGCCATTTTGCCACAACTTTGGAAGTATGCTTGGGGTCATTGTCCATTTGGAAGACCCATTTGCGACCAATCTTTAACTTCCTGACTGATGTCTTGAGATGTTGCTTCAATATATCCACATAATTTTCCTTCCTCATGATGCCATCTATTTTGTGAAGTGCACCAGTCCCTCCTGCAGCAAAGCACCCCCACAGCATGATGCTGCCACCCCCGTGCTTCACGGTTGGGATGGTGTTCTTCGGCTTGCAAGCCTTCCACTTTTTCCTCCAAACATAACGATGGTCATTATGGGCAAACAGTTCTATTTTTGTTTCATCAGATCAGAGGACATTTCTCCAAAAAGTACGATCTTTGTTCCCATGTGCAGTTTCAAACCGTAGTCTGGCGTTTTTATGGCGGTTTTGGAGCAGTGGCTTCTTCCTTGCTGAGCGGCCTTTCAGGTTATGTCAATATAGGACTTGTTTTACTGTGGATATAGATACTTTTGTACCTGTTTCCTCCAGCATCTTCACACGGTCCTTTGCTGTTGTTCTGGGATTGATTTTCACTTTTCGCACCAAAGTACGTTCATCTCTAGGAGACAGAACGTGTCTCCTTCCTGAGCGGTATGACAGCTGCGTGGTCCCATGGTGTTTATACTTGAGTACTATTGTTTGTTCAGATTAACGTGGTACCTTCAGGCGTTTGGAAATTGCTCCCAAGGATGAACCAGACTTGTGGATGTCTACAATTGTTTTTCTGAGGTCTTGGCTGATTTCTTTTGATTTTCCCATGATGTCAAGCAAAGAGGCACTGAGTTTGAAGGTAGGCCTTGAAATAGATCCACAGGTACACCTCCAATTGACTCAGGCTAATTGACATAAATTATCAGAAGCTTCTAAAGCCATGACATCATTTTCTGGAATTTTCCAAGCTGTTTAAAGGCACAGTCAACTTAGTGTATGTAAACTTCTGACCCCCTGGAATTGTGATACAGTGAAATAATCTGTCTGTAAACAATTGTTGGAAAAATTAGTTGTCATGCACAGAGTAGATGTCCTAACCGACTTGCCAAAACTATTGTTTGTTAACATAAATTTGTGGAGTGGTTGAAAAACAAGTTTTAATGACTCCAAGTGTATGTAAACTTCCGACTTCAACTGTGTATATGTATGTGTGTGTGTGTGTGTGTGTGTGTGTGTGTGTGTGTGTATATATATATATATAAGAGAAGAAAAAACTTAAATCACATTTACATAAGTATTCAGACCCTTAACTCAGTACTTTGTTGAAACACCTTTGGCAGCAATTACAGCCTCGAGTCGTCTTGGGTTTGACGCTACAAGCTTGGCAAACCTGTATTTGGGGAGTTCTCCCATTCTTCTCTGCAGATCCTCTCAAGCTCTGTCAGGTTGGATGGGGAGCGTCGCTGCACAGCTATTTTCAGGTCTCTCCCGAGATGTTTGATCGGGTTCAGAAGCCCGGGCTCTGGCTGGGCCACTCAAGAACATTCAGAAGCCACTCCTGCGTTGTCTTGGCTGTGTGCTTTGGGTCGTTGTCCTGTTGGAACCTTCGTCCCAGTCTGAGGTCCTGAGCGCTCTGGAGCAGGTTTTCATCAAGGATCTCTCTGTACTTTGCTCCGTTCATCTTTCCCTCGATCCTGACTAGTCTCCCAGGCCCTGCCGCTAAAAAACATCCCCACAACGTGATGCTTCACCGTAGGGATGGTGCCAGGTTTCCTCCAGACGTGACGCTTGGCATTCAGGCCAAAGAGTTCAATCTTGGTTTCATCAGACCAGAGAATCTTGTTTCTCATGGTCTGAGAGTCATTTAGGTGCCTTTTGGCAAACTCCAAGCGGGCTGTCATGTGCCTTTTACTGAGGAGTGGCTTCCGTCTGGCCACTCTACCATAAAGGCCTGATTGGTGGAGTGCTGCAGAGATGGTTGTCCTTCTGGAAGGTTCCACATATCCACAGAGGAACTCTGAAGTTCTGTCAGAGTGACCATCGTGTTCTTGGTCACCTCCCTGACCAAGGCCCTTCTCCCCCAATTGCTCAGTTTGGCCGGGCGGCCAGCTCTAGGAAGAGTCTTGGTGGTTCCAAACTTCTTCCATTTAAGAATGATGGAGGCCACTGTGTTCTTGGACTTTCAATGCTGCAGAAATGTTTTGGTACCCTTCCCCAGATCTGTGCCTCGACACAATCCTATCTCTGAGCTCTACGGACAATTCCTTCAACGTCATGGCTTGGTTTTTGCTCCGACATGCACTGTCACCTGTGGGACCTTTTATATAGACAGGTGTGTGCCTTTCCAAATCATGAATTTACCACAGGGTGGACTCCAATCAAGTTGTAGAAACATCTCAAGGATGATCAATGGAAACAGGGTGCACCTGAGCTCAATTTCGAAACTCATAGCAAAGGGTCTGAATACTTATGTAAATAAGGTATTTCTGTTTTTTATTTGTAATAAATGTGCAAACATTTCTAAACCTGTTTTCACTTTGTCATTATGGAGTATTGTTTGTAGATTTGAGGGGCAAAAATTATTTAATCAATTTTAGAATAAGGCTATAACGTAACAAAATGTGGAGGAAGGGGTCTGAATACTTTCCCAAATTTCCTCGATACTTGGAGTCAAAGTATTGATATAATATCATCCAAAATATTATTGCGATATGTAACTATCCATTTTTCCGATGCGACATGATTAGTCAAAGCAATGTAGTGGGATCGTTGTTTTTTGCACTCAAATCATGTCATGTGATAACGTTAAGGAAGGGTGAAAGTATTCAAACTCATTGGCTTGGTGTCTGTCTTGTGATCAACATACAATCGAGAGGCCTAGTATGTGTACATGTATGCGAGCCACATCATCCTAAATGGCTATTTGGTGGATTCATTAAGAATCTGTTAGGAATGTAGATTTGCTGTGTTAAATCCCTTCCCTAACTATGTTCCAGTAAGGAGCTTTAAAGTCCAATGTTTAAAACTCTTACGTGCCAGATTTACCATGATTATGCTGTATTTGTTTACACAATTAGTCTACTTGCCTGTACACAGGCTACCCCTACACCGTTATTCTGAAAACGAAATGTATACTTGAGGAGTCTAAAGTTTTCATAGTACCCAAAACCATTTCACAATTTTATTTGAACACAGGAAAGGTGGTAGGTAATCTACTGCACAAATACTACCATAAAGGATCAGTTGAATTTATGTCTAACTAGAATAAGCCCACGTGAGGCCTACTAAAGCTTTCATTTCTGTGAAACCTGCATTCAGTCAGGTGACGCTGGAGAGGCCACCATGGGTCATCTCCAATGGTATGTTGGTAATCTCCACGTTTCTGTAACTCAAACACTCCCCTCCTCCTTTTCTCGAATTAGCTGTATTTGGTGCGAGTAAGGCGGAAAACAACATATGTTGTGGGGTTGCCTTGCCCAGAGCGCCTGCCAGGCACCTTATCCTTAGAACACAGTTATGTAAGGGAGAGGGGGTTGGGGAGGAGGAGTTGTGAGAATTTCTTCTAATTTTGTAGGCCTATTTCTGTGTTTTAATTAAATGCATCCCTTTTTGAGAACCAGACAGAATTTTAAGTACTTTCTACTCAGCAGGGCCTTTTACGATCTCTCACACCCTCTTTCTCTCACCCTCTTTTTCTCTCTCACCTTCTTTCTCTCTCACACCCTCTTTCTTGTCAGTCTGGGATGTTTTCTCCAACAATGATAACTTGACTCAGCCCCGTTCTCTACCCCCACTGAAGTTTGGGAGTCACTCAAATGGGGACGTGGAAAAATCTCAAAGAACAACCAAGACCTTTCTGTGAGGCTAAACCCAGGGAAAGTCTAAATCATGATATGCCAATGAGAGTGTGGGAGAGAGGAAGCGATAGCGGATATACTGTCAGCTGTGTGTATGATTGGAGGTTAATCTGATACGACATCAATGGCGACTGTAGGATACAAGGCTTGTTCCAGCCTCCAGGCATTCTCCTCCCCTCAGCTGATTTTCTTTCCCTCACTGTGAGTGGAATATCAACCACAGACATCTAGTAGGCAGTCTCAGAGGACTTGGTTGTCTCCACAATATTCTGCTTCTATTCTTCCATTTTAGAGTCCTACACAAAACGCTTCTCATTCTCCAAGGCAACCTTTCTCCATCTATTTACACTTCAATCTTATTAGTGTAGCTGTATAGGGTTTTTTGGCCAAAGGTCGAAATTGTATGCTGATGAATATCAACATGTTTTTGAAAATTGATACACTTGAATCATGTTATTCTTGCCCTGACGAAGGATGGTCTGTGTGCCAGGGGCTGAACTGTAGTAGCCTGTGTGAGTGAAGGATTTCTCCCTCCCCCCGTCCTATCCCACTGCCAACAGAGCCTAAACCCACTTCCAGTGATCCGTGCAGCTCCTCTGGTCTACGGCCATTTGAATACACTCTCTCTCTCTCTCTCTCTCTCCCTCGCTCCCTCCCTCTCTCTCCCCTGCAGGTATGGTTCGGGGAGAAGTTTGACGCACCCCTGCAGAGTCCACGCAGCCCTTTGACGCTGCGCCATGGGCCGGGCTTGGCCGATGTCTTCCAGTATGACCAGTGGCTGGCCGTGCGCCACGAGGCCACGCTGGTACCCATGCAGGAGGACCTGGCCATCTGGCTCACCGGAATGCTGGGTAAGACCAGGAGGGTGATGGGGGGGGGGGGGGGGGGATAATTCAAACAGTATGTCGTTGTCTTGTTCCTGTGGCATTATTTGTTTGTTTGATGTGCTGGCTAGAATTCTTCCTTCTTGTTATTCATTTGGCCTCAAATGTCTCGCCCTGTCACTCACCCCCCACTCCCAACAATACACACTAACACACTTGTGCTAATCTTTTCCTCTCGGTCTCTCTCTGATACACAGGAGACGAGGTGAGAGCGGAGTGCTTCATGGCGGAGCTGAACAACGGGGTGAAGCTGTGTCGGCTAATCGGAGCTCTGCAGAGCAGGATCTCTCAGAGCGGGGCCTCTGATATGGGCAAGGTGAGCTGAGGGGAGAGGAATGGCAGGGAGAATGGGATATTAAGGGGAAATAGGCGAGTGGGTACAGAATGGTAAGGATGGGGGAGTTTGAGTTGGCGGTCTGTTTCCCATCTGAAACGAGTTGGTGCGTTTGGTTCTGATGTGATTTGTTTTTCTGTCCATTTGAAAATATCACCTAGCCAAGAATGCTCATATGTCAACTGTGATGCAATGCATGTGTGGTTAATTTGTAATACTTTTTTGAATGCCTTTCCCTGCAGTTGTTTCCCATGAAGAAGGTGGCATGTAAGTGCAATGCCTCTCCAGGGTCCTTTTTCGCCCGCGACAACACTGCCAACTTCCTGGGCTGGTGTCGCCACATAGGTGTGGAGGAGACGTACCTGTTTGAGTCGGAGGGCCTAGGTACGTGTTTTAGTTTGGTGGGGAGACCGTACTGACAAGTAGGCACAGCAAGTAGGAGTTCATCACAAATGGCCATCGCTCCAGACAGTTTTGAAGTGCATATTTGGGTTATTTATTTTGTCTCAGCATCCTCTAGTTAGCTTAGCATTCTAGCGCAAATGTCCACAAGTATCAATCAAACCAAAACCCATTCAGTCTTGTGTAATCAGTGGAGCAGTACCATGGTAGTACAGTTGAGGTAGGGTCCGACTCATACCCATCCCACCACTATTGTAACATTACTACATTACCCTAGGAGTTGGTTAATACATTACTATGTTGCCCTTGGAGTTGATCAATACATTACAACATTACCCTTTGAGTTGTTTGATACATTACTACATTACCCTTGGAGTTGGTTAATGGCTCCTTACCTTAATCGGTTCAAAAGAACATGGGCTGAGTTGTAAGCCTTTAAAGACTGAACGGAGCAGATGCCTCCACTACAGCCATTGTCTGGCTTTTGTTTAAGCCATCCTCCTTAATGACATAATAGGATCCACCATAGAGAGAAATTAACGTAAGTTCTCTATGTGGACACCTCCTCATTATAAGTAATGGGTTTGTGACACTGCTGCTATAGTGTACAACCATGTCTTCTCTCTACAGTATGTATTTTCTGTCTCTCAGTTCTGCACAAGGATCCCAGGCAGGTGTGTCTGTGTCTGCTAGAGATCGGCCGCATCGTCTCCAAGTAAGTTTCCCTTCGTAGAGAGATGGTGTTGCACTGTGACAAATGTAAGATGAGATCATTCTAGAACATGACCACCACGTTTTGTTTTGACCTTTCACTGATCCTGTAGTTATGCAATGTGGTATGTTGCAGCTGTGTTTGGGGTAGAAAGATGGACCAGGCAGCAAAAGTGAATGTGTGGTATCTTTTTTCCAATCCTAACAGTCCCTTTAGAGCACTGAGCTGATCTGCTTTTTCTCCATAGGTATGGGGTGGAGCCTCCGGTGCTGGTGAAACTAGAGAAGGAGATTGAGCTGGAGGAGACCTTGCTGAAGTCGACAGAGCCTGCTCCTGCAGTCAAAACCTTCACTGTGTGCTGCCAGCATGGGGGACTCTATCAGCCTGGGGTAAGTCACTCCAGGAATTAGAACTGTGCTATTGTCAAACTTGTACTGACCAAATGGAGACTTGACTCTCCACTTTCCTCTCATCTCTCTTGTTGTTCTATTAAAAGAGTTAGTTGGTGACCCAGTTCATCAGAAGCAAAATGGCGGCAGCAGTGGCTCTAGTTGCCTCGCTGCTCAGGGCTGTATGAGTCATTATGGTCCTCGTGACGCTCCATCCATCCGGGGTCATGTGACTCTGTAGCTTGTGGCACCAATGCAACTCAGTCACCACAACAACAAACATCAGAACGCTTCCTGTGTCCACAGCCTAAGCTGCATGACTCTTAGCCTTTGATGGTTAGTGTGTTTGCCAAAGCAGTCCTCTTCAACTACAGTATTCAGAGGCTGCTACTGAATGCTGTCCTAAAGCCTTTCAACTTAAAATTTGTTCATTTGAGTTCATTGCGTTTGACCTGTTAGCAACTCTACTTTATCCTTAGGCGATGGGTTAATGAAACAGGGTTTCTCAATGTTTTAGGGAATTTCTTTCCCATGTTCTTGCTTCCTTAGCCAGGACTCTATAGGCACATGTTAATTCTCCCTCTCTGTGTTAAAGGAGCAACATCTGATGGACGAGCCACCGTGTAACTGCTCCCAGAGAGTATCTATTGAATACCTGTCAGAGGGCCGCTACAGACTGGGAGACAAGACCCTCTTCATCCGGGTGAGCAGCACTCACTGTATAGTGACACACTGAACACTCCCAAGCATTGGACACCAGTGTTAGGGTCAATTCCACTGCTAAGTGAGCATTAGGCCTGTAGCTAGTGACACACCCTTTCTGTCCTCTGCCAAGAGACCAGGAAACATCTCTCCACCGTAACCTCATTCATTACCTGGCCCCTAATCCAAAGGTTCAGTCTCGGTGCCTGGCACACTTGAGAGTAGTAAGTAAGCTTATTATCGATGTTGGGTATTTAAGGCTGATAAAATGCTTATACAACTGAAAAGTAAAAAAACATGAAAAGTATAAAAAGCAGCAGTGTAGATGAAGGACGGAAGAAAGGTGTGTCTGTTGCTCGCGGTTCCACACAGCAGCGGATCACTCCCAAAGCTCATTAGGGAAGCAGAGTAGATCCCGTTAGTGCTGCACCTACAGGAGGGATCACATCATTATTGGCCAAGCTACTGAAGTGGAGCTAATGGTACAGAGTTAACACTTCCATCAAACTGCAACTGAAAATAGATGGTAGCTGGCAGCACTGTAGATATGAGTTGTTGGTGGTAGTAGTAGTAGTAGTAGTGGTAGTGGTGAGCAGTAAGTAGTATTGGTGGTAGTAGGAGTGAGTGTAGATGCTGTTCTCAAGGAATAGTTAAGTAAAAATAAGCATGTTAACCCTTTAAAGAGACCAACTGCAATGTCTCACATGTATCTCCCTCTGCCTCTCTCTCACTGTGGTAGATGCTGCATGGGAAGCATGTGATGGTGCGTGTGGGGGGTGGCTGGGACACCCTAAGGGGTTTCTTGCTCAAGTACGACCCCGGCCGAGTGCTCCAGTTCACCACTCTAGAGCAGAAGATCCTGGCATATCAGAAGGGCCCACCGGGCCACGGCGGCCATGGCTTTGCAGCAGCGGCTCCTCCACCTGACATGGACCCTCTCGCTGCAGTCAACCTCATCTCCTCGTCTTCTTCCTCGTCTTCCTCTGGTTCGGCCTCCAAAGCCACCTGCACCCCCGTCTCGACCCCTACTCTGCCCAGGAAAGCAGCCGCAGCCCCCAAAAAGACCCTGCAGATGCTCCTTCCCTCCCCCAAGAAGCCCACCCAGAAGCCCTTGCCAATCCCCAAGAAGGTGGCTGCTGTGTCGCCCACCCTGTCTTCGCAGCAGGGCCCCAGCCCTTCCCTTCACAGTAGCAAGAGCCAGCAGAGGGCACCACTGCTCCATTCCTCTTCTTCCCCAGCCGTGGCTTCAGCCCCCAAACTGAAGCTCAGGCCGTCCCCTCGCGGCGCTCTCTCCCAGCCCCGCAGCCCAGTGTGCCCCGAGCCCTCTTGTAAATGTCCTAAACCCTCCTCCACTTCATCCACCCACACCTCCATCACAGTGCCTCGCCCCACCACAGCCCCATCAAGGGTCCCCTTCCAGAAAGAGGGCCGACCCCCAACCGGCGCCACCCAACGCCGCCTGTCTCAGAGGCGGCCCGCCTCCCCTGCCTCGCGCCTTCGTCTGGATGCTGCCAGACGGGTCTGTCCAACCCCCCGGGTAGCAGTGCCAACACCCAGGCTGGCAATGGCCCAGCCCACCAGGACACTAACCCATACCTCCAGGACTGCCACAACAGCCCTGCCCAAATCCACCATCTCGCACCCCAAGAGCAAAGACACCACAGCCAAAAGCCAGGCCCAAACCAGGGCCATCCCCAAAGTGGTTGTGCCCCCACGTGGCGGCACCCCTGGGCGGGTACCAGGGGCCCCTAGTGGCTCTACCGCTGTTGGCAAGATAAACCAGAGAACAGTACCAACTGCACAGAGGACAGGATGGAGGCAAGCGCTCACCACCAACACCCCCTCTCTCAAACCGGAGTCCACCAAAACGGCCCCCCAAAAAACAAGCCCCAACATCAAAGCCCTCCCCTCCCAAAAGGAACACTGCTCTCACAAAGAAGACCCAACTCAAGAACAAAAGCGAGGACCCTTATTTTGAAATGAACGGTAGAAGGCATCAGAAGACGTGAGACGTAGTTGGGGGATGTAGTAACGTGACGGGGAGGGACTGTACTGTCCTACTGAACATTAGTGCTTCCATCACGGTATTTGTCTGAATAAGTCCCCAACCAGGATTCAGCAGAACACCAATTTCCACACAAAGATATACCCAACCGGGTATAGATGCAGCAACTGTCAAGCTAGTGCGTAACTTTCAAAACGCCATTTGCACCGCTACCATTTTTACGTTTTTGTTTCTGTTGGTCAGATTTTTTTTGTCTCCTTTTATTGTCCTGTTGTCAAAAGGTCATGCCTCAATTGCATCTTACAATAAGTAGATTTTTACAGTCTTTGAATGGGTTGAAAAGTGAATGATACTGATTTTATCTGAGGTCAGCTCAACTCAGTCTTCAGCCTAACACAGAAACACTCAATGGAAGCATTGTAAACCAACATCCCATCAAGTCTTTTGTTTCTTATCCTTTTTCCTTATCATTTTGAGTGTTTTTCAACGCTTTCTAATGTCCATTCGTATGACTTTTGAGGTTCCAACTGTACTTCCCTAGAGAGGGCTCTATCTTTGGCCATCTGATCTGATAGAAATTGTCTCTGCATATAACAGTTAGACTTTTTAAACATTGACATTTTCTTTTCAGAAAGGGTCATTTCTGTGCAAAGCAGAGCTAAGGCAGCACACTTTGAACATTGCTTTTTGAGTTAATATTCCTTACAAGCAGGTTACTGTAACCAAAGTTTCACATCTTTGACAGGAAATATAACTGGACTGAATGTTTGTCCTCGGTGTGAATAAGCATTCCATTGATGGAGGTGTGATTGAATATAAACGTTTGTTTCTCTTTTTCACAGATGATGGGTAGTTTTCAATTTTAGAGGTCAAATTAAGCGCTGTTGGAATATTTCTCGTGTGCCTTTAGAAATTACTGTTGTTGCGGAGTGGCGTTAGAATGTACTAGAAACTAGGGTTTTAATATTTGTTTTTACAAATGAGAATTGCACAAAATACAAGCACTCGGACTGAGTTTTTTATTATTACATGGTGAAATCTCAAATGAATTACTACTGATAATAATATGCCTGTAACATCCTTTGAACACGTAGTAGGCGATAGCAACTAAGGGACAAGCGAAGCCCTTCATCATTTTACAGAGGGGGAAGTTATCGTGAGGTAGATTTTAATTTGTTTTGTCATCTGAGTCTTTCTGTTTATCATATTTTGTAGTTTTCTATGTGGTCTTCGTCGAAGTTACTTTATCTGTTTTCTTGGTCAGCACTTTATGAAAACCTCTTGGTGTGTTTCACTTTGAATGTTGATTCTGTTGATTTGTGTATTGTCTGATCTACCTTTGTTACATTGTCCAATAAAAGGCCAAACGTTGGCAGACTTCCTGCAAAACATGTCTGTGCTTCATAATTGACAGTAACATTTGAAGTCAGTGGAAATGATATTGACTTAATGTCCAGGAACTAAGCACACTCATACCCTTTTCACACTCTTGTGCTAACCCCAACCATACTGCGCTGGCTTTCACATTGTCCTTTCCAGCACAGTTTTAGCAACTACAATGGATGCATAACCAGGCTGGCACAGGAGAGCTTGGCCTCTGATAATCCTAGGGTTTGGCCCAGTAGTGTGACAAAGGTATGAGTAGATGTACAGTATAAAGTACTAGAAGGTCTTTGTGAAAGTTGAGATGTGTGCAGTCAGAGTAGAGCAATATACTTAGTTCAATGGGGATTTATATAATTTCCACCATAGTCCTTACAAGACTTAAGTTACTTGATCAGCTCAGTGATGGCTGCTTTATTGAGGAACACTTTTACTTTCAATGTGATGGGTGGTTGTCTCAGCTGGTGACCTCAAAGCAGCAATCAGCAGTTGAAACGATAAATCGTCCTCCCTGTTTTGGTAAAAAGCTGACTGCTGGGGCTGGAGAAATGTAACCACTCAAATTCATAGAGCTATGGATGCAAGGAGTGACCATCCATGATATAAAAATTATAGTTTTAACCATGTTTTGAGGCTATATAGTGTTTACAACTGGAGTAAAACAAGCTTCTTTTGGGATTCTAATGGGGTATGACAGTTTAACTAAGCTCATGAGGCATTGACACTGAGTGTACAAAACATTAGAAACACCTTCCTAATATTGAGTTTCACCCCCCTTTGCCCTCAGAACAGCCTCAATTCGTCGGGTCATGGACTCTACAAGGTGTCAAGTGTTCCACAGGGATGTTTACTCCAATGCTTCCCACAGTTGTCAAGTTGTCTGGATGTCCTTTGGATGGTGAACCATTCTTGATACACACAGGAAACTCTTGAGCATGAAAAACCCAGCAGCATTGCAGTTCTTGACACTCAAACCGGTGCATCTGGCACCTACTACCATACCCCGTTCAAAGGCACTTACATATTTGGTCTTGCCCATTCACCATCTGAATGGCAAAAATATACAATCCATGGCTCAATTGTCTCAAGGCTTAAAAATCCTTCTTTAACCTGTCTCCTCCCCTTCATCTACACTGATTGAAGTGGATTTAACAAGTCAATAAGGGATCATAGCTTTCACCTGGTCAGTCTGTCATGGAAAACGCAGGTGTTCTTAATGTTTTGTTCACCGTGTATCTACCAAATCTATTAATTTGAATATGTTGATTACTTATCCTTGCCATTATCATTCACCTGTTGATAAGACAAGACGTGAAAAAATGTGTTGCTAACATATGATGGGGGGGGGGGGGGGGGGGGGGGGTTAAAGATACCTGCTCTAGATGTCTCCATGTACAATGTGTTATGAGACTATTGTTTTCCCAGTAATTATATCAAATAAAACTTTATTTTTTTATGTCATTTGTGGAGGGAGACTGTTGCGTTACAGCCTGAATTTAAAATGGATTAAATAGAGATGTTTTGTCACTGGCCTACCAACAATACCCCATAATGTCAAAGTGGAATTATGTTTTAACTGAAACCTGAACTGTCTTGAGTCAATAAGTATTCAACCTCTTTGTTATGGCAAGCTTAAATAAGTTCAGGAGTAAAATGTGCTTATAAAGTCACATAATAAATTGCATGGACTCACTCTGTGTGCAATAATAGTGTTTAACAGGATTTGTTGAATGACTACCTCATCTCTGTACCCCATGGCTGAGATAGGGGAAAACTGAGGATGGATCAACAACATTGTAGTTACTCCACAATACTAACCTAAATGACAAAGTGAAAAGAAAGAAACCTGTACAGAATAAAAAATATTCCAAAACATGCATCCTCTTTGCAACAAGGCACTAAAGTCATAATGCAAGAAACGTGGCAAAGCATTTACATTTTTGTCCTGAATACAAAGTGTTATGTTTGGGGCAAAACCAATACAACACGTTACTGAGTACCACCATTAATATTTTCAAGCATAGTGGTGGCTGCATCATGTTATGGGTACGCTTGTAATCGTTAAGGACTGGGGAGTTTTTCAGGATAAAAAAAGAAACGGAATTGAGCTAAGCACAGGCAAAATCCTAGAGGAAACCTGGTTCAGTCTGCTTTCCAGGAGACACTGTGAGATGAATTCGCCTTTCAGCAGTACAATAACCTAAAACACAAGACCCAATCTACACTGGAGTTGCTTACCAAGAAGACGTTGAATGTTCCTGAGTGGCCGAGTTACAATCTACTTGAAAATCTAAGGCTTGACCTGAAAATGTTTGTCTAGCAATGATCAACAACCAATTTGACAGCACTTGAAGAATGTAAAATAAAAATAAAAAATAATGGGCAAGTGTTTCACAATCCAGGTGTGGAAAGCTCTTAGAGACTGACCCAGACAGACTCACCGGTGTAATCGCTGCCAAATGTGCTTCTACAAAGTATTGACTCATGGCTCACATCAACAGCATAATCCCAGAAACCCTAGACCCACTCTAATTTGCATACCGCCCCAACAGATCCACAGATGATGCAATCTCTATCGCACTCCACACTGCCCTTTCCCACCTGGACAAGAGGAACACCTACGTGAGAATGCTATTCATTGACTACAGCTCAGCATTCAACACCATAGTGCCTTCTAAGCTCATCACTAAGCTAAGGATCCTGGGACTAAACACCTCCCTCTGCAACTGGATCCTGGACTTCCTGACGGGCCGCCCCCAGGTGGTAAGGGTAGGTAACAACACATCTGCCACACTGATCCTCAACACGGGTGCCCCTCAGGGGTGCGTGCTCAGTCCCCTCCTGTACTCTCTGTTCACCCATGACTGCATGGCCAGGCACGACTCCAACACCATCATTAAGTTTGCCGACGACACAACAGTGGTAGGCCTGATCACCGACAACGATGAGACAGCCTATAGGGAGGAGGTCAGAGATCTGGCCGTGTGGTGCCAGGACAACACCTCTCCCTCAACGTGACCAAGACAAAGGAGATGATTGTGGACTACAGGAAAAAAAAGAGGACTGAGCACGCCCCATTCTCATCGACGGGGCTGTAGTGGAACAGGTTGAGAGCTTCAAGTTCCTTGGTGTCCACATCACCAACGAACTATCATGGTCCAAACACACCAAGACAGTCGTGAAGAGGGCACGACAAAGCATATTCCCCCTCAGGAGACTAAAAAGATTTGGCATGGGTCCTCAGATCCTCAAAAGATTATACAGCTGCACCATCGAGAGCATCCTGACTGGTTGCATCACCGCCTGGTATGGCAACTGCTTGGCCTCCGACCGCAAGGCACTACAGAGGGTAGTGCGTACGGCCCAGTACATCACTGGGGCAAAGCTTCCTGCCATCCAGGACCTCTATACCAGGCGGTGTCAGAGGAAGGCCCTCAAAATTGTCAAAGACTCCAGCCACCCCAGTCATAGACTGTTCTCTCTGCTACCGCACGGCAAGCGGTACCGGAGTGCCAAGTCTAGGTCCAAAAGACTTCTCAACAGCTTCTACCCCCAAGCCATAAGATTCCTGAACAGCTAATCATGGCTACCCGGACTATTTGCACTGCCCCCCCCACCCCATCCTTTTTACGCTGCTGCTACTCTGTTAAGTATTTATGCATAGTCACTTTAACTCTACCCACATGTACATATTACCTCAGCTACCTCAACTAGCTGGTGCCCCCGCACATTGACTCTGCAACGGTACCCCCCTGTATATATAGCCTCCCTACTGTCACTTTATTTTACTTCTGCTCTTTTTTTCTCAACACTTTTTTTTTTTTGTTTTATTCTTACTTTTTTTGTTTAAAATAAATGCACTGTTGGTTAAGGGCTGTAAGTAAGCATTTCACTGTAATGTCTGCACCTGTTGTATTCGGCGCATGTGACCAATAAAATTTGATTTGATTTGATTTGATTTGAATACTTATGTAAATTAGATCTTTCTGTATTTCATTTTCAATACATTTGCAAAAATTTCTAAAAACATGTTTTAACTTTGTCATTATGCGGTATGTGTAGATGGGTGAGAAAAACTATATATTTAATCAATTTTGAATTCAGGCTTTAACACAACAACATGTGGAATAAGTCAAGGGTTATGAACACTTTCTGAAGGCACTGTATGTCATGGAAAGAGCAGGAGTTCATAATGTTTTGTACACTCAGTGTATAAATTATATTCTTCAAGAATCAATAGGTACATATAATTAATTTAAAAGTCCAAAAATGGATGTAGCAATTACATATTTTCTATGGATGTAGCAGATTACCCCTTTAAGATGAGTGCACTAACTGTAAATTGCTCTGGATAAGATCATCTGCTAAATGAATAAAATGTTATGTAAATGTGATACCCAGTGCCATTTCTTAAAAGTGATGAGATTCAATCCATTCACATTTTCTATGGTATGCATGCCCTAATGAATAAGACCCTGATAACCATATAATATTCTCGCAAACTTTCATAGTGTAAAACAAGACTGTCTGAATCAACCCAACTGAAACAAATTCCCAGGGCAATCAATGCCTGTGCCTCAACTGTGTTACAGTCATCCCTCCTGGTGGCTTGAATTGGAGGTGAAACAGGACTGAAATTGTGACATAGAGAAATGAAAAACACAAATTAATATTTATCATACCCCAAGAATTCCAACATATTGCACAAAATAATATTTTCCACAAATAATATTACTTATTTTCCCCATAAACTGTAGCTTGGTCATTCTCACGAAACTGACATTTGACCAAAAAACTCTTAACTGTCATTTTCCACGAAATTTCCTCTTGGATCACTGAGGTTAGGATCTGTACTTACAGTGCCTTCAGAAAGTATTCATACCCCTTGACTTATTCCAAATTGTATTGTGTTACAGCCTGAATTAAAAAAGGATTACATTGAAACATGTTTGTAGAATTTCTTTCACATTTATTGAAAATGAAATACCGAAATATCTAATTTACATAAGTATTCACACCCTTGAGTCAATACTTTGTAGAAGCACCTTTGGCAGCGATTACAGCTGTGAGTCTCTTAGCGCTTTCCACACCTGGATTGTGCAACATTTATTTATTATTCTTTTAAAAAAGTATTCATGCTCTTGTCAAATTGGTTGTTGATCAATGCTAGACATTGAGACAGCCATTTTCAGGTCTTGCCATAGATTTTCAAGTAGATTTAAGTCAAAACTGTAACTCGGCCACTCAGGAACATTCACTGTCTTCTTGGTAAACTACTCCAGTGTAGATTTGGCCTTGTGTTTTAGGTTATTGTCCTGCTGAAAGGTGAATTCATCTCCCAGTGTCTCCTGGAAAGCAGACTGAACCAGGTTTCCTCTAGGATTTTGCCTGTGCTTAGCTCCATTCCATTTCTTTTTTATCCTGAAAAACTCCCCAGTCATTAACGATTACAAGCATATCCACAACATGGATGCAGCCATGCACTATGCTTGAAAATATGAAAAGTGGTACTCAGTAATGTGTTGTATTGGTTTTGCCCCAAACATAACACTTTGTATTCAGGACAAAAATGTGGAAAAAGTCAAGGGGTGTGAATACTTTCTGAGGGCACTGTATCTATTTCATAATTATTATTATGTTTTTTAAAATCAGATATTGTGCATTTTACCACAATTTCCACAAAATTCTTATTACTGTAACAGTCCAAAAAAGTAATAAACCAATACATTTATTTTTTCCACATTTCTCCATAAATGAAAAAGCCTGAGTTAAACATAACACTGAAAATAAATATTGTATTGGTTTATTAAAAAAAAAAAAAATGAAATTATAAAATAATTATACAATTATATCTGACTTTTTGCCAATTTGAGCGTTTTAGCCATTTCGGTAATGAGAAGGTCAAGTGAGGTAAAGCGGTGTTTGAGAATAAGAACCTAATTCTGAAGGCTTTAAATGAATAAATTAACTTAACCTCTACTACTCCTCTAGATGATGCATCATGGGTTAATAATACTGATTGGAGTTTTACACGAACTTGAAAAAGTGTTACAGTACCTAATAAATATGATAGTTTAATGTACATTTCAACTAGCATTCCATTTTTATGATTGATGGACAAACTACAGCAACATATTTTGTGTTTTATTCAAATAAGTTTGGTTTTTCTAAAGTAAAATTGTATACAATTTGGGCCCGATAATTTAATCTGCATGCATTTCGGTAATGAGAATTTGGTATGAAAATTTACAAAATCCTGGCGAAATTTACAAAAGTATTTAAAATAAGACACTTAGCCAAAAACGAGACATCTTAGTCCTCAGAATGATAGTTGATTTTTGCAGATGCATCATGGTTTTGTAACTCAATTTCCTACAGACGTGTTTAAAACTGGTTTCTTGACAATCACCCAGTTGCTGTTTTGTTCGGTGAAAGGTTACAATCTAGGCGCTCTGGAACGCACGCTAGGACTTGGGACTGGGACCTGCCCAGTTTGTTTTTTGACGTCTCGCTGGAGAAAGGAAGTGGCTGGCAGCAGTTTACATTTCGGCAGTACGTTTGAGTGGCCGGACGTGGTTGGAGTTGTTCCGCTGAAGCAACAACAGCAATGAAAACGAATTCGTAGGCACACTATGTTGCACTGGCCAGTTGCAGGAAAGCCTTTATTGAATATCTCAGCAACTGTGTTTCCAGTGAATGTAGCAGACTAGGAAGTAGGAACGTGGGCCTGAAGAAAATGCTGTCCTCCTGGCTAATATACATATTTGTATCTTTCTTGGTCTGTGATGGAGTTGTAGCACAAGTGGAAAGTAAGTCATGTTATGCTATTCTTTTCAAATAAAATTGGCATTAGATTAACTTGAATAACTTTTAGATTACATCAAGGCTGCTGGCTGAAAGCCAATCATACTCTAGCTAGCGTCTTATTGTTTTAAATTAAGAAGATATGTTACGTCTTCTTTGAATCAGAGATATCCACTCCACTAACTTCATGAATTGTTAACCATTCCTATGTTGGAGATGTTACCTATTGTTGTAGTTAGTCTTCACATTCAGAGGCTGGAGAAGTATGAACCACTCTCAAATTCATAGATGGAACTGTGGATGCACGGGCTGATAGTCCATGACATGAATTAACTAGTTGCATTTTGAAATGGCATTGTTGTTTTTTTTACAACGACTCAAATGTCAACAAAAACATAAACAGTGGAGTAAAACATCCTTATATTTTGGGTTATGATGAGGTGAAGACAGTTGTACTAGTTGCTGGAAAAGTGGAAGCAAAAAAAGATTCAATATGTCTTCAACATTAAAATAGTTATGTGGAATTAGTCTGGGATTTCAAAATATTAATGTTCATGGTAAAAAATAAAATAAGCATTATCTCACGCTCAATTTCATACCCAGGTTGTATAGGCTATGTATATGCTACACTAAACATAGGATAAAATGCTGATTGTATACACCCACCCTTGCCATGCCAGTATGCACAGCATTCAAAAATAGATTTTCCTCTCATGGAATTTTATTCATTTTTCTACTACATATAATTGAAATGTAGGTCTATTTGCACTGCAAGGCATCTTCGGATTGGCCCTAGAGAACAGGTTGGATGCCATTGACAGATTTAATGCTTGAGAAAGAAGCAGGCATTAGGAATTGACTGCTTAATCCCCCCCTCATCACATGTTAAACGAAAGGAGAATAACCCTCCATGGCAGTCATGCTTCTTTTTCAGTCTAACCTTCAAAAATCGGTCATGATGAGAATACAGTATACCCATGCGCAAATAACCCTTGTACCCTGACAAACCATATAATGTGTAACAATGACGTAGTGAGTTCTGGGCGTACTCTGCCCCTGGAAGGAATCATGCCCACTCACCCTGCCGGTCCTGACAGTGACTCCTCAGGAACCTCCCCAGCTCCTGGTTCATCCTCACCACCTGCCCGTTGGACTGAGGCCGGTACCTGCAAGTGAGGCTGACCGTGACCCCGAGCTTCTCCATGAAGGCCCTCCATACTCGTGATGTGAATTGGGGGCCACGATCGGAGACGATGTCCTCCGGAAGGCCATAATGCCAGAAGACCTGCTGGAAGAGTGCCTCAGCGACCTGGAGAGCAGTGGGGAGACCAGGAAGAGGGATTAAACGACAGGATTTAGAAAATCTATCCACTACCACCAAAATGGTGGTGAAACCGTCAGAGGAGGGAAGATCGGTTACAAAGTCAATGGATAGATGTGACCAGGGTCGCTGAGGCACGGGAAGCGGCAGGAGCTTCCCTGCTGGAGCGTTCCAGGGGGACTTGGTTTGAGCACATATGGAACAGGAGTTGACATAGCGAGTGACGTCCTGCGCTAAGGTGGGCCACCGGTATTTCCCAGAGATAGTGTGAGAAATACCTGGATGTCCAGCGATGACAGCTGTGTGCGCCCAGGTCAGCAGCCGATCTCTAATCCCTGTGGGAACATAAATGCGCTCCGGAGGACAATTAGTGGGTGCGGGCTCCCTCTCCAGAGGCTGGCGGATGTCCGCATCAACGTCCCAGACCACAGGAGCTTCGACTCGGGAGGATGGAATTATGGGCGCATTCTGGACAGGACCCTCCCCCGAATCGTAGAGACGGGACAGAGCATCGGCCTTGGTGTTCTTAGAACCTGGGCGATAGGTCAGCGTGAAGTCAAACCTTGTGAAGAAAAGGGCCCACCTTGCTTGGCGCGGATTAAGCCTCCTCGCTGTCCGTATGTACTCCAGGTTCCGATGGTGAGAATGACGAATGGTTCCTTGGCTCCCTCCAGCCAGTGTCTCCACTCCTCTAATGCCAACTTCACCGCCAGGAGCTCACGATTACCGACGTCGTAATTCTTCTCTGCAGGGGACAGTTTCTTCGAGTAAAACGCACACGGGTACAACTTCCGGCATTCGGGTGACCAGTCTGTAATTCTCATTCTCGACCATGAGATGGTAGGGTTGTGGCGTTGAAGCCAAGGGAGGCCGAGGATGATCTTGTGGACTGGTGCACTGGTAATGAAGAAGGGAATGTTCTCCTGATGAATGGACTCCACGGTGAGGGTGAGTGGTTGAGTGATGTGGGTGACGGTTCCAGATCCAAAGGCCGACTATCCAGGGCTTGAACCGGAAAAGGAGAGGAGAGTGGGTATGAGTTGATGTTAAGAGAGGAGGCAAGGGTCTGGTCAATAAAGTTCCCAGCGGCACCGGAATCCACAAATGCTGTAGACTCAGTACATGAGGGACAGTCAGATAGTGTAATGGACACCAAAAAGAGCCTAGTAGACAGTGATGAAGATGGAATACTCACTCCTGCCCTAGGGGGTGGAAGATCACGTGACTGTCCCTCTGCTCTTGTGGATCCCGGATTCGGACATGCCAGACACCTCTGGATCTTGTGCCCACCTTGTCCACAGTACAGAGAGCCCCAGCTGTATCCGTCTGTGGTGCTCTGCCGCAGGGAGACGAGTGACCCCTACCTCCATGGGTTCAGACTCTGATACCGAGTGTTCACTGAGGGAGGGAGAGAAGCGATGACAGTACCAGCGCTCCCGAAGTAGGTTATCCAGACGGATGGCCATCGCAATTTTCTTCCACGGTGAAGTTGTCGTCTCGACAGGCCAGTTCTGTCTGGACCTCTTCACACAAACCTCTTCTAAATAGCGTACGAAGCACCGGCTCATTCCATCCACTGGATGCTGCTACTGTCCGAAAGGTGAGCACGTACTCAGCAGCCGTCTGGTTCCCCTGCCGTAATTGCAGTAGCCGCTCACCTCCCTCTCTGCCCTCCAGGGGATGATCAAAAATACATTTAGCCATGAACCCCTCATAAGAATCAAGCTCCTCCTCTCCTCTCTCCCAGACGGCCGTAGCCCATTCCAATGCCCGCCCAGTCAGCAGAGAATTCACCGTGGCAACCTTGGACCTCTCGGTGGTGGAAGCTCCCCTCTGATGCGTAAAATATAGGGAGCACTGAAGTAGGAAGCCACAGCATTTGGATGGTGTACCGTCATATTTATCCGGGAGGGATAAATGGGCATCGCTGACCTGAGCGGGTTACTGAATGGGCTGATGTGCTGGGTCGACTGGTTGTAGAGTATCCTCCGCTGGATGAAGGCAACTCCTCCTGGGTGTGTTCGAGACGTTGCACACTGTGAAGAACCTCCTCCATAGCCGATCCCAGTTGTGCCAGCTGGTCATGGTGTTGACGTAGAAGATAACCCTGTTCATCGACCGTCTGAGAGATATTCTAATTTCCTGCTGCTTCCATGGTTGGAGTCGGTATTCTGTAGCAATGACGCTGTGAGTCGAGAAGCAGGTGCAGGTGAAACGTTTAATAAAACAACAAACATGAAACGAGACAGCGTAACAGTGGCGATATAGCATGGACACAGGAACAATACCGACTGAGGACTAAACGTAAGGGAGGGACATATAAAGGGGAGGTAATGAGGAAGGTAATGGAGTCCAGGTGTGAATCACAATGATCTGCAGGTGCGCGTAATGATGGATGCCAGGTGTACGTAATGATGAATCCCAGGACCGGTGGTTAGTATTCCGGCGACGTTGCACGCCGGAGGGGAGGAGCAGGAGTAGACGTGACATCATGTGTTGGAATATTCAACAGAGAGAGATAAGAGACAGGTGACAATTCAGGAGGTATGGACAGACAGAGAGACCAGAAAAGTAGACAAAAAGGCTGTAGAAAGGAAGGGGAGCAAGAGAGTAGAAAGTGAAAAAGTCAAGTGTAATACACAAGCAGTGAGAACAACCAGTACCCTATTTGGAGATTAGCTAAGCAGTGCCACAATAGTTGTTTTGTGTGAGGATCTGGCCTGGCTTGTTTTTGGTATATGTTGTGGATTGAAGGTGTCAATTCTCAGAGGTACATACAATAGGTGTAACCACATCGTCACTGGTCCCTGTGCGAGATTTATCAGTGGGCACTCAACAGAAATCAGAACAGCAGAACTGGAAAGACATTCACACTTACGGTTGGCCAACTCATAAAACATTTTAGAAAAAGGCTGTGCTGTTATCCTTGCAAGGTGAGGTATTGAATGGTATTGAAATATTTTTTACCCCTACCTTTTTGAGAAAAATAGTATTACTTGTTAAACAGAATCTCTTTCTCTGAGCAATTGTATTAGTATAAAATAATATAATTTAAAAAAAGAAATTGAGCATAAAATATAGCTCAGTATTCGGACCCCACTGTATGTAAATTAACCTATATAACAGGTTGTGGATAGCCTGGGATGATAATGCTGTAACATCTATTTCCTCTCTCAGATCGCGTGGTTTTCCTGTTTAACACCTTTCAGAATGTGAGTATGAATGAGAACGAGACGGTGCAGGCAGTGGTCTCCAGAATCCCCCCTGAAGTGGCCTTTATCACCCTCCAGTTCCACACACAGCACAGCAATGCTACGCTGTCCTACAACAGGGTAAGACACTGGCTCACGTACAAACACACATGCTCACAGTAAAATAGATTTATGTAATAGTCTAATTCAGGTCAGTGTTCATTCATTCAATATTGCCTATTACCATATCAAACACGTGCGTACGTACGAACAAACACACACACACATAACCACACGATTGGCACTGATTGGTCCACTGACTTTTGGAGGGAAGTCAGATGATGTGCAACCAGACTGGTTGCACATCATGGGAGGAAGGCGGGGCATGAGGCAAGGGTAAGATGGGTTGACCAATCCTGGCCTTGGTCCCAGAGAACCTAAGGGTTGGGTGAAAAAACAATCGCCTATTTCCCTATCACACACACACCGTTTCTACTGACCCACTTGTGGCGGAGTCTTGTGAGATTTGCAGACACTCTGACTGAGTAGAGCTGTCATGTGTTGGGCTGGTCACAAGCTCTTTGGTCTTGACGGAAACCTTTGTGAATGCCTTTCCCTCTTACTACTGAAAACACTTTGAACTAACTCAAAGTAGTCCTAAATTAAAGTAGTCTAAATTAAAGTAGTCCTAAATTAAAGTAGTCCTAACTCATAGTGGGAATAGGCTAAAGCAGTAAACATGCTCTGACTGTAGTGAGGTCAACATGAAAACTGGCCCCAACTGTTAAGGGGCAAATGTACCAAACACAGCATAGACAGGTAATGAGTGTCAGCTGGAAGTGAATATCACCACAAGTCGTTCTTTCTCCACTGTCTAAACCATCTGGCAGATATAGCCTACAGCTATGTGAGAACAGATGGTCAGCCGGGCGACTGTGCACGTTTCAGTAGTACTTTACATTACAATACGGAGGAATAAAGCAGTAATAACATGGTGGTAGTATGGTAATTACTACGTTAGAGTTACTCACAATGGAGACATTATTTGCCAGGATACGGAGAAAATTGAGAGTAACTGAAACCTTCAGGCAAATCAGTGCATTCAGTGCATTGTAATCAACTAAAGATTGACTTAGAGCTTTAGAACATGGATCTTCATGGGATTTCAGGCTTTGTTTTTGTGACCGATTTGGATAGATTAGGGATGTGTTGTTGGCTGACTATTTGAGTGATTTTCTGGTTGTCTGGTTGTCTGGTTGACTGACAGCTGCATTCCTTCCTACTTTGGGCAGATGCCAGGGCTGGGCCTCTCTCTAACAGCGGTAGACTCAGGCCTTCTCTCACCCCTGATCCCCGGTCAGACCACGCTCTCCTGGTTCCTGCTGGCCGCTGATGGGGACTCTGTGTCCGGCACGGGGGTTATCCTCCCCTACACCAGCTCTGGTATGTATGCCCTTCCATCATCCATCTCCGCTTCCCAAAATAATACACCAATTCCTCTACAGTTTTAGGTGACTTCCCACTACCTGTCAAGGGGCTATGTTGCCTTACATCACTGTTAGCATTCCAGGATATTTTACCTCTCACTACTCACCCTCAATCCACCATTGTTTTAACCACTCCATATACCATATTAAAGCAATAGCAAGTGTGTCTAGTAGACCTAGAGTCCGTTTCAAACGAACCCCAAAACAAGAATGTCAGTTGGATTACTGAACAAAACAAATAGAAAGTCAACTGAGGACAAACTTCAAAGCTGTTTTGCCTTCCACCGAACTGATTGTATCTGTGTAGAGTAATCTGCACTCTACAACTTCTCTAAAGTCACCAGTAGGCCATCTGCATAGACCAATGGTACTAACTCAGTCTACTACTGCTACTACTGCACTGTTAATGGACTTCAAGAAAAAACAATGACTTGATTGGCTGCTTTTAATTAAATGTGTTTTCTCTCTCTCTGCAGACCCAGTCCCTGGAGCTTGTAATCTGGAGTTTGACCTGGACATTGACCCAAATATCTATCTCCACTACAACCTTTTTGAGACTACTATCCGCTTTGCACCTGCAAATATTGGATATTCAAGGTAACAACACACTAGAGGGTTTATGGATTTAACCACTTGGATTTAACCACTTCTGTCTCACTGCAAACACATATGAGGCAGGGCACTCTCTGCATATGTTTTGGTTTATACATTTTAAAGTAAACCCTGGTGAAAAGCCAACAATTAGTCAAAGAAATAGTCCTGTGACTGAAAGACAAAGCAATCTTATGAGTGCACTATGTGCTGTCTTACATTAGTGTGTTTTTCATTGTTGTGGAAGCAGAGTAAGAAATGTCTTAATGGCAGGGCTCTGGCTAGGAATGTGCTTTAGTGGAGAGAAGAGCTGGCGAGGTACACTGAGTGGAACCCAACCTCTTCAGCATTTTGGGATAGGGAAATCATTGATATTTCTTTATGGAAATAAATAAAATACTTTGTTGCTATTAATCAGGCTATGGTGAGATGATGATCATAGGAGTTGCCAATATGGCACAAACCGATCTAGTGACCAGGCTATGGGAAGTGCTGTCTTTTAGTATTTCCACATACAGTACCTACTCGCATTACGTGGACCACAGAGAGGAAACACACACACACAATCTTCCTGTTGTGCATCAAGCAGCTTCAATGTTACATTGGCCTGTGGTCTGTTGACAGAACTGTATCTGAATTTACCTAGAAGAAAAAGAAACTAAGATTTCGAATAGCAGTGATTCAAAAAGCAAAAGACCAAAGAGGTCTGGGGAGGTCTGTGGCGAAACCAAAAAGAGTCACAAAGATTTTGAAAGATTTTGAATAAGATAAAAGTGATGGAGACACTTGTTTTGCGTAGTCTCTAAATTGTAATTTTTTTAAAGGATACTACTGCCCTTTCTGTTGCATTTTCATATTGCTGTATTATTATAATTATTTGTGACGGCTCTTCTGAGCCATCTTATTTAATTGTGAAAAATATTTTAATTTTTTTAAAGTAAAAAAATCTACAACATTTCTGTTTAAAGCTAGAATCCTTAATGGTGAAACAGCCATGTCCGTTTAGGATATTACAACAACAAAGAAGTTACTGTAAACAACGAACACTGTTTTTCCCCTCTGACATCATTGCACACGCGATAGAACAGCAAAATATGTACAGCAATTATTTTTACCATGCTGCCGGACGCTTCTCTGCTCTGTTTTCATCAACTAAACAATAACAAAGTCACTGGGGCGAACAGTGGCGCAGTTTCCCCAAATGCGCAATTCGTACTTTAAAGCAAACTTTCAGAATCCATTGTGAACTGACCTCTGTTGGCACCTCCTCAGAGGCTCCAATCCGCCCGCCTGTGACACTGAAGTGGGTGAAAACACTCGCTGGCGCCTGAGGTACGACATCTACCAGTACTTCCTGCCTGAGAGCGACCTATCAGAGCAGAGCCTCATCACCAGCATCCAGAGTGTGGCCAACGTCCAGACCATGACAGAGCATGGGAAAAGGGTGAGCTGATGACAGCGTGAATGTAGTGCAAAATGGATATGTATAAAAATACAGATTGGGATCGTAGACTGTAAACTTGCTGGTTGTGGTGTAATGGTATGGTGAGCTTTTCTCCTTTTTTTCTCCCTGTAGCTCATGACACTTTCGTCCAATGATAAGACGGAGGTAGTGTTTAGCTCCATCCCGGGCCAGGGTGTAATCTACTCTGTCATAGTCAGAGACCCAGTGATTAACACCTCTTCCTCGTATATCCCTGTCCACACCTACGCCTGCAGCTTCGCCTCCACCCTGGATGGCTGCGACACTCTGGGTAAGTGGGACAACCAGCACAGGGCCAAAAGGGTATTTTTGCAGGGAAACATCAGTCAATATACACTACATGACCAAAAGTATGTGGACACCTGCTCGTTGAACATCTCATTCCAAAATCATGGGCATTAATATGGAGTTGGTCCCCCCTTTGCTGCTATAACAGCCTCTACTCTTCTGGGAAGGCTTTCCACTAGATGTTGGAACATTGCTGCGGTTACTTGCTTCCATTCAGCCACAAGAGCATTAGTGAGGTCGGGCACTGATGTTTGGAGATTAGGCATGGCTGCAGTCAGCATACCAATTTATCCTAAAGGTGTTTGATGGGGTTGAGGTCAGGGCTCTGTGCAGGCCAGTCAAGTTCTTCCACACCGATCTCGACAAACCATTTCTGTATGGACCTCGCTTTGTGCATGGGGGCATTGTCATGCTGAAACAGGAAAGGCCTTCCCCAAACTGTTGCCACAAAGTTGGAAGCACAGAATCGTCTAGAATGTCATTGTATGCTGTAGCGTTAAGATTTCCCTTCACTGGAACTAAGGGGCCTAGCCCAAACCATGAAAAACAGCCCCAGACCATTATTCCTCGATTCGCCAAACCCAGATTCGTCCGTCGGACTGCCAGATAGCGAAGTGTGATTCATCACTCCAGAAAACGCGTTTCCACTGCTCTGGAGTCCAATGGCGGCGAGCTTTACACCACTCCAGCCGACGCTTGGCATTGCACATGGTGAACTTAGGCTTGTGTGCGGCTGCTCGGCCATGGAAACCCATTTCATGAAGCTCCCGACGAACAGTTATTGTGCTGACGTTGCTTCCAGAGGCAGTTTGGAACTCAGTAGTGAGTGTTGCAACCGAGGACAGACGATTTTTACGCGCTTCAGCGCTCGGTGGTCCCGTTCTGTGAGCTTGTGTGGCCTACCACTTTGCGTCTGAGCCGTTGTTGCTCCTAGACATTTCTACTTAACAATAACAGCACTTACAGTTGACTGGGGCAGCTCTAGCAGGGCAGAAATTTGACGAACTGACTTGTTGGAAAGGTGGCATCCTATGACGGTGCCATGTTGAAAGTCACAAGCTCTTCAGTAAGGCCATTCTACTGTCAATGTTTGTCTATGGAGATTGCATGGCTGTGTGCTCGATTTAATACACCTGTCAGCAACGGGTGTGGCTGAAATAGCCAAATCCACTAATTTGAAGGGGTCCACATACTTTTGTATATATAGTGTGTCTATAATGGAGACATATCTGAGTATTCCTGTCTGATTTCCTGGGACCTTATTCAACTAAACTTTCTGTTGAGTGGAAGGAGAGTATAATGTCATTCTACACAGAAGACATTTACTGTACTGCAATCGTTCTGGCTGAGACCTTCAGGGCTATTTGCGTGGAAATCTTCTGGAATGCACCTTGAAGGACAGTGTGCATTTCAGACCAGGGAAGATCAACACCAGTCCCCTAGGAATATGTTGTCAGCTGATTTCAGTCTCTATTTTGATTAGTAGCTGACTTATGAACCCATATGTCAACTCTAGTCAACAGTAACAAACTGTAATGGAGCAATTTCATAGCAGGAGGAAAAAGACAAACCGTCGACACAGGGTCTGCTGCTCTTATTAGACCAACAACAAGTTAGACCAACTATGGGGAAAGACAGAATGACTAAAGGCTGATGTACTTTATTTTCTTCTAGGGAAGATATCCACAATGATCTTCTTCACCATCGTTGGTTTAGCTGGCCTCTTCGTGTGCTTCTTTGGGCACCACTTCTTCAAATGTGGTGAGTAACCAAGGGAAACAAGTGTTGACTTACCGACTTTTCCACTACATCACTGGAAGATACGTTTGGGAAGTCCAGGACTTTTCCTCCCCATAGAACACCAGTAATAAATAGCTGCTTTATCCCAGCTATTTATGGTGTGTTAAAGTCCAACTCTCATTCAAAGTTCATGCCAGCCAGCTAATGGAAATATGGGCTGGAGGTTAAAGGTCTTGTTGTAAACTGTTGCTCCCACATAATGGGCAAAAATAATTTGAAAGAAAAATAATAAATAGACTGTTCGCTGGTCATGTTTTTAGACCAGTACCAGGTTTAATCTGGGTCTGGGAAACCAGTCCTAGATGTCATGCTAGAGTCTTTACTGTGTTGCTTCTCCCGTATTAAACTTTCCTCCCTTGTTCCCCTCTCTATCTTCCTCTCTCTTAGAGCTATTCTGTATGGGCTTTGGCTTCGCAGCGTTTTTCTTTTTTATCTTGATCACAAGAACTACAAAACTGGACTATGACAGTAAGTTCAAGTGATTTCAAATGAAGATAAGAAGATTGTTGACATTGTCTTATCTAATGTACTTGCCTTTTTTGGCAGCCAGGTTGATAAGGATATTAATTATGTTGTTTTTTATTTGGTCATATGCTTGTTCAGTTATCTCTGTACTCCCTCTGTAGTTTTTAATGCGTCTCCAAAGCATACAGTATTTTGGAATGAAATTAGCCATACAAACTGGCTTTGCTTCCAGCCAAATTGCATTAATCGGCATAGGTCTCTCATTAGTGCGAATTAGATAGTCATGCCATATCAATATGATTTCCCCAAAAACATTATCCAATTTTAATTTGGAAGCTCCCCATATGCAAGGTGATGTCAGCGTTGGCATGTATGTGGATGCGAGTATGTGTAAGTCATGGAGGATGGCGGTGAGCGTATGAATTGAGAATTACACACCTAACCCTAATGTGATGTGGTCAATGGTGGAGCTGATGGATGGATGCCAGAGAACTCATCCAGGACGCAATGGGAAACTTCCCCTGTGCATAGCACACAGTTCAGTGTGAAACAACACATTTATGCATAGAACAAACATCTCACTGTAAAAGCACATGTTCCAGTAATTAAGTTGGAGCACGGGTTCCAACATGCTGAAGAGCACATGCTTTAGTGGAAAGACAGAACAGAAGTGTGTGTGTGTGTGCTTCCTCTCTGCAGTCCGTCTGACCCTGACAGCAGTGATTGGCGTAGTGGGGGGAGTTATCCTGGTGATGAGCTGGTGGCGCTTCGGCTCGGTCATGTCCTGTGTCATCGTAGTCGGTCTCATGCTGGGGTTCCTCATCTCCTCCACTGTCTTCTTCACGCCTATCGGTAAAAGAACCAAAAAAACACCTACGTCAGATTATTATTTATTTTATTTACAAGTTCAAGCAGGATAATGCTCAGTCAGATTAATGTTGTATGACACAGAAAGTATTGTAGCAACGTGGTAAAGAAGTTATCATCACCACTTCCTCAGGTGACATGGAGGTGTTCCGTTCAAATGTGGTGTTCTGGGTGACGTTCAGCTGCATCGTGGTCGTGGTACCGCTCTTCTTTGTGCGCTGGCCAAGAGAGGTAGGCCCTGATCCCCACCCTTCTGCACTTTCTTTACAGTGGCTGTCCAATTCTACGTCATAGTCCCCTCCCACTTTAAACTCAAGAAGGGCTTAGAACTTTCAACGCTTTGGGAGGACAAATGTGGAAATGGAGCCTCTGGGTAATATTGCTGTGTGGGTGTTGTCTTTCTGCAGGGTAACATCACTACGTGTGGTGTCGCTGGAGCCTATGCTGTGGTGCTGGCTGTGAATGCTTACATCTATATCAGCCTCTCGTACATCACCCTTAACATCCTCAAGCGCTTCCTCAACGACAACTTCAGCAAGGCCTTTACTGATGTGCCTTTCCAGGACATCGGTGAGTAAAATCATTTCTTTCTTTTTTCAAAACCTGATTCTGACCTTTCACCCTAACATCCTTTTTGTCCTCTCTCATTCTTGGTCTTCCAGATTTCATCATGATCACAGTGTGGGTGGTTCTGGGTGTGTCTGGTATCGTGCTACAGTTCTACCGGGAACGCACACGGCCCTTCTTCCCCCCCAGCCCTTACCTCATGTGGCTGCAAGAGCGGGAGCGCCGCAAGACAAACGTTCTGGACCCAAGCCACCACACATCCTCACTCCCTTCCCGTCTCCTCGCCCGTGCCCGACAGCTGACTAGCTGGAGAGAGTCCGCTGGTGAGCGCACACCCCTCCTCCTTTAAACCCACCCACTCGACCCAGACCCATTTTACCCAGCCAGGTAGCACCATTGCGTTGGAGCATTTTTATTCCAGATTATGGATTTTCGATTCCATTGATGATGGTAACAGTCCAGTAAGGTAGTGTTTATATGCCCGTGGTGGAACTTTGGCATGTAACTTCTGCAGAATGTGTCCCACAAAGTGCACACAGAGAATTTAAAGCATTATTTTCTAGCATAATTTGTTTCACTTCCTTAGTCTTGTGGTATTTGGTGGCATGTTCTTAGAGGGTACTGAGGAAGTTGTTACCGCTACCACTTAATATTTGTCCCCCCAGTTTTAATGGGTATGACACCACTGTCAGGGAGTTCTGGGTATGCCCATTTCAGCTCCAATGGCTATATTGTTTTTTATGTTTTGTTTTGTCAACATTTTTGTGTGCAAACTGTCACTTTTACACCATGTTTTATAAAACTGTATGTAGAGGCCACTCTTTTTTTCATTTTCTTTTACAAATATGATACAATTAGATTTTTAAGAAATATGAGATGTTATATTGAAATATGCATGTGTTTTGGGGACCCATTTTGCGAAATGTAGTTGTGGCATCGAACACTACTGTATGGGTGGGAACTTGCAGCCTAAAATGTATCCTCTTGATTTCATGGACATGTTTGACAGCACTCTAAAATCATAAACCACAAGTGGCAGGTGTAGGTGGATCCTGAGCACTGATGTTTATAGCCCTTCAGGATTTCCTCCGTGTTGAGCAGTAGCAGGAAGAGGAAACGACAAGTGTCACAGCCTCTTGCTGTCAGGTGGCCTAACACGTCATTTAAAGTGGGCCTGCTGTTGATGTTCCTTATTGCCAGCTTTCATTTGGTAAAGCATTTTCAGTGTTTCCCCTATGACAATGTCCTGCTAGCTGTTCCCATAGACTTTCAATCATTGAGCCAACGACTGTCCATTTAAAAGCGTGTCTCTGCAGAAATATATTAATTTAAAAAATGGTGGCAACAATTTAGCCACCACTGCTAAATGAACATAGGGGAAACACTGATTTTAAGGTAGTCCAATACGTGTCTTGTGGGACTTTTCTTTAGGTTCTTTCTCTCTTATTACCCACCCAGTATGTGCTTTGGTATGAAAAGCTGTCTTATTGAGGCATTAATAATGTGTACAGGAATTTGCCTGCAGAGTCACCTGACATGGTTTATTAATGCATCCCATGACCGATGTCAGTTTTTCCTCCAAATGTTCAGTATTATTGAAGCTTGATTAAGTGGATAATTTAAGAGATTATTTTCCCTCTTGTGCAGAACAAGGTATCCTCAGATGCAGTGTAATATCCCACAAGTGATTTTGTAAATCCTCGCCATTTGCACACGACAGGATGTTTTGATATTTTATGATTAGCAGAATCACCTGACAGGATTCAGATTAGGATTACAATGTCAAAGATGGGAAAGAGTGAAATGCACGTAGAAATAGCCATTTATTGGTTTCCAAACCAAAACACACAGGGGTGTGATGAGGCCAACAAAGTTATAAAGTTATTATTATGCACTAAGATTACTGATGAAGCTTTCTTAAAGATCAAGGTTGCCTTCCAGTATTTTTCACTACAGCTCTTAGGTACTTACCTTTTCATGTGCCATGTCATGTTTTAAAATGGGCTGTTTGTCTACAGTGTTTCTGTTTTGTTGGGAGAGAAATGTAGTTAATTATTTAATAAATTGTTTTTCCTAAAAATCACTTGTGTTCGTTTCTCTGCTCCTCTTGTCCCAAAGTGTGTCATCAGTGAAGTTGTGATGTATCATGGTGCAACTATTAGGTCCAATTTACAGTCTACATACTGTAAGTTGTGCATTCAAACAGTCCTGTTCACGCATACGGTATTTCCACCACTGGGTTTCAGCTGGAGGGCACTAGCCAAACTTTAACATGTTTCTTTCAAGTGTTTTATTGTCATTCAAGAGCAGCACTTACTTTCACTCATTCCCACTCTTAAGAACCCACAGCCTCATCAGGCAGCACAATGCATGCCAAGACTAAAAAGCATGACCGACTAAACTGCTGTAGCTGGAAGATTTTCCCATTTGTCGCTGAGGCTTCCTACTGCATTGTGGCAGTAAGACCTGGGACATCGTTCCTCTGGGAGTCTGTGTGGCTGTAGGTGATTGGGGGGCGGGGGGCATATATATATATATATACAGTCTCTCCAAGCTGGTGTGGGCCTAACTCTTCCAGAGGCTGATGTCGGCGCTGGTCAACAGGGCAGACAGAGATGTGCTATCCGAGGCCTCCTCTCTCGTCAGAACTAGGAAGGCCTCTCGACTGATCCCTAGCAGCTCACGAAGACCACTGTTCTCCAGCTGCCCAAAAAAAACAGTATGTTTGAAATAGTAGTACTCAATGCTTTTAGTAAACAGAGAATACAGACAACCTGTGAGACTCACCTCTAGTTGCTTGATCCTCTCCTCGTCTTCACACAACCTCCCCTCGTCCACTTCGATAGCCTTCCTCATCACCGTAGCCATCTCATTGATCTTGTCTATGTGCGCTTGCATTTCCTGCAGTCATAGAATAGAAACAATTAAATATTTGCTTTGAACTTCCTGGATGCAAGAGGAAAGGGTAGCTCCTGAGTGTAATGTGACAGTAGTAGAGGGTGCGTCACTCACAGTGGAGTGCTGCTCCTTTAGTTGGGTGACGATGGCTGGGTCGTCCTTCTTACTGGCCATGAGGAGTCTGAAGACCTGCTCCCTGTATTTAGTCATGATGAGCTCTATGGCCGACTGGTGTTCCTCCAGGGATGTTCTCAACTCTGCAGGGAGAGAAGATATGGATACACACATTATACTCACATTTTTGTGGATTTATCCATACATGGTACTTTTTCAACTGGTAATATGCCTGTATTATGAAACCAATAAACAGAGTAGCTTCATTTGTTTTTCAGCTTATCACATTCTCTCTCTCTCACACACACACTGCTCTACCTTTGTTTTCCTGCTGTAGGTCACGGATCTGCCGGTTTTCCTGCTGGATGCCCATGACGAGGTTGGAACGGGGCCGATGCCGAGCCACCTGGTTCAGCGATTCAATCTCCTCCTGATACTGCAAACAGATACACATAACTCCAGTCAACTCAGTTCAACTCAATAAAAGGTCAGTTAAAGGCAAGTGTATACGCTTTCGAACACCAATCAAAAGAGCTGCATCACCAGTGACATTGGCATTACCTGTTTCATGGCCTCCACCCTCTTGTTAAGGGACGTTGTCTGTTCAATAAGTACCTCCGCTGCATTGTCATGGCTGCGAAGTCTTTCCACCAGCGACTTGGCGTCTGACAACACATTTTCTAATGAACACGTCATCCCTGTTTGAAAAAGTACACTGGAAGGAAAATAAATAAGGTTAAGATGCCGCTCCAAAGCCTCACCAAACTCAAATGCATCATTCCATTTTTCCCCCTTCTCCCTAGAATGTGCACTTGCTCACTGCCCCTCAAGGATTTGAAAGCAATGGATTGGTATAAGTACGTGCTAGACTATAATATTTATCAAATCAGTCCTAAAGTAACTTAGAGGGAGACTTTTCAGATCTTAGGCAAAGTTACTCATCATGCAAGGCTACACCTTGGCATCCATTACATAAACATCTGACTCAGATCTTGGCACATAGGTCCTGAGCTTGTCAAAATGAATGGACTGAAATCCTGTCAGAGTCACCAGATCCAAACAATACTAAACATGATGATCTGATCTGGACCCTCATTCATGTACCTTTCCTGCCTAAGTAGCTAGCTAACTCGTATAATCTCCCAGTCAGCAGGGGCGTATTCATTACCTAAACCGTTTACCCTTTAAGAACCAAACGGAAGCAAACGGAGAAAAACGAACGTTTCTACTGGACAAATTCAGGCAGGTCCCGCCCCGTTTGCTTCCGTTTAGGAAACGTTTTTACAATAGAATCCCAGTGACTGACCAGTGGACACCAGAAGGACGTTTGCAAAGTATTAGAACAGGGTACTTTAGCTAGCTGATAAACTTCCGTTCCTTCCAAGCAGACTGTCGTAATCGGAATGATGTCGTTAGGCAGTTGTCTGTCAGATACTATTTAGCTAGTATCCTTACAGCTAGCGAATCAACAAGGTTAGCTAGCTACAGTAGCTAGTTAAATGCTACGGAAATCAGGTGAATCGGTCACTGAAAATACAAGCAAACAAAAGCTGCAAGAGTCTCATGTTGGCATTGTATTTGCTGAAAATTTGATATACTTAGCTGTCAGAAGAAAAGTAAAATTACACGTAAAACAAACCAATACTCGTATATTTACCTGAGCGAGAAACTCCTTAGCCAAACTGTACACTTCCTGTTGTTCCTGCTGCAGTCTGGGAAATGTATGGGCACGTTCCGGATCCTTTAGATTAGAAGCGCTGCGCTGCTGTCAAACTGAATAGCCTCCCCTCCTTCTATATTCCAGTTAGGATAGCTAGGTCTATCAGACACTTTTCCCAATCAGATACTGATTACATTATATAAAATCTCTGATACTCTTTTCCCAGTTTTGTTTTTTCTTTGATTTTCTATCACTGTGTGCGTTGTGTACGCCAACCTGCGGGTGGCAACAACACGCTAAGAAACGTCTAGTCTGCCCGGAAATCCAAGGGGAGGGAGAAACAACAACGATGGCGGACAGGTTAACGCAACTTCAAGATGCAGTCAATTCGGTACGATAAATTTTTTATTCAGCTATTATTACACCCCACAAACGATTTCATGGTCAGCAAATTGTCATGTCACGTTTAGGTTGACTGACTTCTTAGTATTTAGAAGTGGACTAGGCTGAATAATGACAGCTAGCTAGTTGGCTAAGTTCTCGGTTGCAAGGTTTGCTGAGCTAACGTTAGCTATCTAACAAACAATCACGTTATTTAATGTCTTATGTTTTGTTAAATCAATATGCTCATGACAGTATTTTCATGACATGTGTTTTTGATGTCATTCAGCTTGCTGATCAGTTTTGCAATGCAATCGGGGTGCTGCAGCAGTGTGCGCCGCCTGCTTCGTTCAACAACATTCAAACAGCAATCAACAAGGACCAGCCATCTAACCCCACTGAGGGTAAGGACCTGTCCTAAGCTCAGATGTTAACTGTAATATTAGATCCAAGTGGGATACCGTTGGGGCATGTTTGCCTTTGGGCCAGGCAACCTGAGTTCAAGACTTAAACCCACCGTTTGCTACACTGGTGTCAGAAGTGGGATGTACTCCACAGAAATAGAATCATTAATTCTATTTCTATGATGTACTCTCCTGTGATGCAGTTGGAGGCAAGGACGGACGTAGGAAGGCACTTGCAAGAAAGTTGAAGTGCTTCCCGTTCTGAGGGGTTTGTGTAACGAACCTAGCCAATGTAAGTCTGTTACGACCTTCCCCAAGTTGGAGCAGTGGTCAGTGTGTTTGCCTTCGGACGGGGTGACCCAAATTCAAGACACACCCTTGCCATTCGCTTACATTATATGTTAGCCACTAGCAATGTGAAAGTCATTTTTGACACTTTGTTGATACAAATGTAATCTCATGTCGCCCAAATATGATACAATTTGACGGAAATCACGACTTTGACCGCACAGCGCTATTTGCATATGAAACGTTTACGGATTACACCTTTCATTTGTAATGGGGTTGTTTTTTCTTTCCCTAGAGTATGCACAACTATTTGCTGCACTGATTGCCCGGACAGCTAAGGATGTGGACGTGCTGATTGACTCACTGCCCAGTGAGGAGTCCACGGCAGCTCTACAGGTATGGAGGTTGAATTGACTCCTGTGATTCAACAGGAGTGGAAAACCTCCAACTAGAGTGCTATTCCCATGTTGAAAATTATTATAGTGTGTTCTTTCAAGTGAAAGCGATAGTTCACTTCTAATTCTGTATTGCTATACTCTTACTTTGAAAATAGCATATGGGGCCTGGGGGAGGACTGGCTGGAATCTGTAACTACTTTGGTTGCAATCCAAGTCAGACTTGTAAGTAGCTATCATTAGCATTGGTTACCATAGCCCTGCCCCGGACATACAAACAAATGGCTTGGGTAAATCGCCTTATAAGAGGTGGGAGTATTGACACTCCACTCTCACTTTGGCACACATTACTTCAATAAGTTCAGCCTCAAATAACTACAATTTCTATACATTTTGTATGGAGATTTGATGGACTTTCTTCCCTCTCTCGTTTTTCCCCTCACCCCCTCTCCCCTCCTCCACCTTCCTTGTCTTACTCCCTGCCCCTCTCCCTAGGCGGCCAGTCTGCGGCAGTTGGAGGAGGAGAATCATGATGCAGCGGCACGTCTTGAGGAGGTGGTATACCGAGGGGACTTGCTACTGGAGAAGATCCAAGGTGCCCTGGCTGATATTGCTCAGTCACAACTTCGTACTCGCAGTGGAGGGCCCAGCCAGCCCACACCGCCCGAATCATGACCCCACACAACATGGGGCAAAGACATTCTCACATCACATCACTTTCTCACATAAACACACCAGAGGGTGCCTGTGTGTACAGGAAATCAAATAAAGAGCCCATTGGGTGAACCTGAACAGCTGACCTCTCAAGGAGCTGAATCTATGGAAAATCCTTCTCGCAATATTTGAGTAGGACATTGGGAAGTTGGTGCTTGGGGAATTCAGTGAGGCAAGCTATGAACCCACATGTTCCTTTACACAAGGACCTTGAGTTCTGTTTACTCTGTCCTTTTCTTAGCACACGCTATTTTGGATTAAACAGCACTGCTCCGGAGTCAACATCTGCTGTCATTTTCTTAACCCAGGTTATTTTGAGGATGCTAGTTAAGGGTCTGCTGACTTCTGTTGGTAGCCATTTTTGTACATACTGAAAGCAGCTGGTAAAAAGAACAACCATCCTAAATTGATAGAAGCCCATTTTACATGCTGCATGCCAGCAAATAATACCCCTATAAAAGCAAGCCCTGTCATGTTTTAGAAAGTCATGTTTTGTATTATTTTATACCAATGTGTTTTATTTGATTTATGAACATGTTTTTATCAACGGTTTATAATTTTCCAGGCATAAATGGCATTTTAAAATTAAGTCAAGTGTTTGCATTTTATGTGGATTGTTAGTGCTGCACATTTTGATATGCAACACAGACAAACCTTGGCCCCACAGAAAAATGGCTTTCAGAATGTCCCTGAATTGAAAGTGTTTTTTTAAGTCTTATATATTGAAGGGATTCGATAATGCAGCCTGGGTTGAACCGGGCAATGGCCCGTCACGTGACTGGGCGAACTCGGTGAGGGAGGCACACCCTGCTCAAATAGAACGGTAATCTGCGCCGTTCGGTGATATTGCCAACATCGTGCATCATTCAGAAACATAACATTTTTCCATAACATTTTCATTAGGTACGGCAGATAAAAGCCTTTTAATCAAATGCAATATCTTTTGCATGTGAAAAGACAGAATCCTACTCATTACTCCACGTGCTTAACATACAGTATCAGTCAAAAGTTTGGACACACCTACTCATTCAAGGGTTTTTCTTTATTTTTACATTGTAGAATAATAGTGAAGATATCAGAACTATGGAATAACACATATGGAATTATGTAGTAACCAAAAAAGTGTTAAACAAATCTAAATATATTTTATATTTGAGATTCTTCAAAGTAGGCACCCTTTGCCTTGATGACAGCTTTGCACACTCTTGGCATTCTCTCAACCAGCTTCATGAGGTAGTCACCTGGAATGCATTTCAATTAACAGGTGTGCCTTGTTAAAAGTTAATTTGTGGAATTTCTTTCCTTAATGCGTTTGAGCCAATCAGTTGTGTTGTGACAAGGTAGGGGTGGTATACAGAAGATAGCCCTATTTGGTAGAAGACCAAGTCCATGTTATGGCAAGAACAGCTCAAATAAGCAAAGAGAAACGACAGTCCATCATTCCTTTAAGACACAAAGGTCAGTCAATACGGAACATTTCAATAACTTTTCAAGTTTCTTCCAAGTGTCAAACCACTACTAAAGAACACCAATAAGAAGAAGACTTGCTTGGGCCAAAAAACACAAGCAATGGACATTAGACCGGTGGAAATCTGTCGTTTGGTCTGATGAGTCCAAATTAGAGATTTTTGGTTCCAACCGCCGTGTCTTTGTGAGACGCAGAGTAGGTGAACGGTTGATCTCCATGTGTGGTTCCCACCGTGAAGCATGGAGGAGGAGGTGTGGGGGTGCTTTGCTGGTGATACTATCTGTGATTTATTTGGAATTCATGGCACACTTAACCAGCATGGCTACCACAGCATTCTGCAGCGATACGCCATCCCATCTGGTTTGCGCTTAGTGGGACTATCATTTGTTTTTCAACAGGACAATGACCGAACACACCTCCAGGCTGTTTAAGGGCTATTTGACCAAGAAGGAGAGTGATGGAATGCTGCATCAGATGACCTTGGCTCCACAATCACCCAACCTCAACCCAATTGAGATGGTTTGGGATGAGTTAGACTGCAGAGTGAAGGAAAAGCAGCCAACAAGTGCTCTGCATATGTGGGAACTCCTTCAAGACTGTTGGAAAATTATTCCAGGTGAAGCTGGTTGAGAGAATGCCAAGCGTGCGCAAAGCTGTCATCAAGGCAAAGGATGGCTACTTTGAAGAATCTAAAATATAACATATTTTGATTTGTTTAACACTTTTTTTTGTTACTACATGATTCCATATGTGTTATTTCATAGTTTTGATGTCTTCACTATTATTCTACAATGTAAAAATAAAGAAAAACCCTTGAATGAGTAGGTGTGTCCAAACATTTGACTGGTACTGGACATCACTTTTGTTTTGAACTGACCTCGCCATCTGTCAAAATGGGGCACCTGACTCATGCCCGGGAGGTAGCCCAGTTCCAAAACGAATGCAATCAACGCTAACCCGATTCACCCCGGACATTAATATAAATCCCTCACTATCTGGGAAACAATAGACGTGAGAAGTGTTCCAGGCTGCCTACATTGCAGTCCTGTCCGATTGTTAAAATAGGTTTCCTGTAATGTACTGTACTTTCAATTACTACAATGTAGGCAACCATGCTACAATGAACGCAACCATGCTCCGCGTAAACCCGTGGACGGACCTGAAAGAAGGCATATTACTTTCATCTGATTGGTAGATAGCTAGGTTACGTCCCCCAATATTTCCACGACCGATTGGTTAAAATGAACATTCGTTTAATTGTATATTCTTCTATTGGCTAATCTAGGTGCAATTTCTGTAGCATTAATTTGTGTGGCGTGTGAGCGTTATGTTTTTAGTGCATCCATTCCGGGAGTAATTGGGTATTTTACTATTTACAGGGTGGATTCGAGGTCGAAGATTAATGAATGGAGACAAGCAGTGCTTACCAAAACCTTGTAGTCTTTTTAAATGTCAGAAATAGTTGTCATTGACTCGAGTCTTTTATTTTCTCCATACACAGTCCGTGTTTGCAGTGTGTGAAGCTAGCTAGATAGCTAGTACCTAACGTTGGGTCTTTCGCCTCATCCCCTAGCCAAATTTACGGACCTATATTCTGTCAAATTGGAGCAGGGCTGGGCAGCTAGCCTAGCCATCAATTGACTCTGGAGCAGGATACTGAGGTAGGTAAAAGCTATTATTACACCCAAGTCTGTCTGTCTACTGAGAGGGCTTTTCGGGATAGTTTTGATATTATGGTCAACGTAGACCAGCAACTATCAATGCATAGACAGCCTACACCTAGCCTACATGTCAAAATGCAATGACAGCATTCAATACAGTTATGTTCTCTTTGGCAGACCTGTCTCGTTGCATACATACCTGTGGTTTTGTCATGTTTACGTCTGTTGGTTACGCAACCCAGTGCACAAATCATGGCAATGAAGTATTCATCATCACCTGCTCGTACAGTCCTTATTAAAAACACTAGTGCCACATAAGCAACATCCTCATCATGGGCATCCTCTTATAGACATTGAGTCATTGGAATTGAATTGAATGAAGGAACATCTCCTTACATTACAGTCCAATCATTTTCTATTTTGGATCTAGTTATGCATCAAATTAAATAGTTCAAAATTCTCAAAAAACTATGGGACCTCGGAAACAGTCTGATACACTTGTATCAAATCAAACATCACAATTCACAAGCTTTGGTAAGGCCATCAGAAATATCCCAATTTCAATCATGCCTGAGTAATAGTGATGAGATACAGAATGTCTGAAATCCACACAATAAAGGACATTACTACTAGTATTAACTATTAGCTTAAATCTCAGAAAATACAATATGTCATTCTTGCTAAATTGATATGCCTAATAGTATAATTAAAGATGGCCTTTGCATAGGTGAAGCAGAAGAAAACGGTCTATGTAGTGCACATTTCAAGGGTGAAGTATTAGGCAGCCGAAGCGGGATCCTGGTGCACAACTCATCAAAACAGGCATTGGAAATTCTGTTGTGATTCATTGGACTGGTACAAGAGCTCAACCCCAGTGACCAGTCCCCCAAGACGCTCTTCCTCACTGCCTATTGAGATGTAGCTGAGGGCATGGAGCTTGGTGTTGTTCTTGGCTGTGTGTGTCCCCAGACAGTCCCCCCTCCCTCTGGCATCATGACTGGGTCTTTTCATGCTGAAGGGGAGTTGCTTCCTGTCCGGTGCTGACTCGCAGGGTGGAGACCACTTGGTTTCTTGATTGCATGTTTGTTAAGTTTCCTTTTTTTCCCCACTGCACACAATGGCCTCTCTCTCTGCACCGGTCTTTCAAGAAACAGAGTGAACTTGCTTCAAATCAACGTTTTTTGGTTGCGTACACAGTTTAGCAAATGTTATAGCGGGTGCAGGGAAATGCTTATGTTACTAGCTCCTAACAATGCAGTAAAATGTCAAACAAGTACACAAATAATAAAAGATTTAAACAAATCAAGAAATGTCCAAATGAATCCAATTAACCTAACAACCCAAATAGCACTAACATTTTTTAAATGTATTTATTTATTTATTGTCATTTTTAGCAGACACTCTTATCCAGAGCGACTTACAGTTAGTGAGTGCATACATTTTCATACTGTCATCCAGATGTAATCTATACGTATAGACACCGAATGAATTTACACAAGATATACTAAGAATATGTACAGCAGTAACATTAGATGTATTAGAGTGGCCATCACTGGTCTGTATTACACAAAGACAAGTTAAAACAGGCTCCTCACTGCTAGTAAGGGACTCCGTAGCAATACAATGTCTCTCAGATATTACTAAAATAGAACTAAAAGCTATTGGATGTACAGTAGGCTTATGTTGAATATCAGTAAATGTGTATTGGGCCTCAGTCAGTCATTGTTTGCTCAACAGGATAGTATGGCCATGACGGGAGGGACTGCAGCTGCCCTTCCCATGAGCAACCACACCCGAGAGAGGGTGACCGTGGCCAAGCTGACACTGGAGAACTTCTACAGCACTCTGCTGACACAGCACGAGGAGCGAGAGACGAGGTACGTGTCTCCTATAGGCCACCCATGCATGTGACAGCCAGGTGTTCAGAATATTTGCATTTGGCAACGCAAGCTTGTTTAGGATCATTTTAAGAGGACCCAAATTGTGGGTTGTTATGTTGAAAGAACGAGAGAGACTTTGTTCTTTATAAAATGGCTGGGGTTTATTCCAACCCGAGCATCCTAACGTTCGTGAGCTAGCATCACAATCACAACTGTTTAGCCAAAGTACGGTGGCTCCCATAGGACATTTCTACTACGGTGGGTGAAACCGTAACAGACAACAATAACTCTCAGGGTAGGCTATATAGCGACCATAACATTTGGAGTAGAAATGGCACTTTAATCATTAACAATCATCACAGTTTTATGTCTGAAAAATGTTGATAGATGATCATGAAAGACAACGCCGCGGGGTAGACTGTTTCAGAATAACTAGACTGGGGTAGACTGTTTCTGAATAACTAGACTGGGTTTACTGTTTTAGAATAACTATACTGTTTCAGAATAACTAGACTGGGGTAGACTGTTTCAGAATAACTAGACTGGGGTAGACTGTTTCAGAATAACTAGACTTGTTTCAGAATAACTAGACTGGGTAGAGTGTTTCAGAATAACTAGACTTGTTTCAGAATAACTAGACTGGGTAGAGTGTTTCAGAATAACTAGACTGTTTCAGAATAACTAGACTGGGTAGACTGTTTCAGAATAACTAGACTGGGTAGAGTGTTTCAGAATAACTAGACTGTTTCAGAATAACTAGACTGGGTAGACTGTTTCAGAATAACTAGACTGGGTAGACTGTTTCAGAATAACTAGACTGGGGTAGACTGTTTCAGAATAACTAGACTGGGGTAGACTGTTTCAGAATACCTGCATGTTCCTCTATTTTTCCAGGCAGAAGAAGCTGGAGAAAGTCATGGATGAGGATGGCTTGATAGATGAAGAGGTAAACCTCCGCTCCTGTGGAACGATGGCTTTAATTCTAATAATGGATTGGATTCAATATCGTGGGTAGCACTTTCTTTACGTGTTTGTCATGTCTACTATTTTGGAGGAAACCAAATGGAACTGATCATCTGTGTCTCTGTGCCCATGTTCCTCAACAGAAGGTCATGCGACGCTCCCAGCACGCCAGGAAGGAGACAGAGTTCCTGCGGCTGAAGAGGACCCGGTTGGGCCTGGATGACTTTGAGTCACTAAAGGTCATTGGTAGAGGCGCCTTTGGAGAGGTGTGTTATGATAGCTCTCTCTCTTCAGTTTATTTTCTTTATATGGACCTTTGAGTGTATGCTGGTATTGATTGTGGATTAATATGGTCTTTACTGAGAAGTTTGCAATGCATAGGTTGGTCTGATCACTCGTTTATAAAGCAGCTAGCAACTAATGTGGCATACTCATGTGTGACTCATACGTTTGTCATCAGGTCCGCTTGGTGCAGAAAAAAGACACAGGGCACATATATGCCATGAAGATCTTGAGGAAAGCTGACATGTTGGAGAAGGAGCAGGTGGCTCATATTCGGGCAGAGAGGGACATCTTGGTGGAGGCAGACGGGGCCTGGGTGGTCAAGATGTTCTACAGTTTCCAGGATAAGAGGAACCTCTACCTCATCATGGAGTTTCTACCTGGAGGTGGGTTTCTCTTGCTGGCCAGTCTCCCTCCACAAATTACATTTAAAAAAATGTTTTTTTAGATACAGTGGGGGAAAAAAGTATTTAGTCAGCCACCAATTGTGCAAGTTCTCCCTCTTAAAAAGATGAGAGGCCTGTAATTTTCATCATAGGTAAACGTCAACTATGACAGACAAATTGAGGGAAAAAAATCCAGAAAATCACATTGTAGGATTTTTAATGAATTTATTTGCAAATGATGGTGGAAAATAAGTATTTGGTCACCTACAAACAAGCAAGATTTCTGGCTCTCACAGACCTGTAACTTCTTCTTTAAGAGGCTCCTCTGTCCTCCACTCGTTACCTGTATTAATGGCACCTGTTTGAACTTGTTATCAGTATAAAAGACACCTGTCCACAACCTCAAACAGTCACACTCCAAACTCCACTATGGCCAAGACCAAAGAGCTGTCAAAGGACACCAGAAACAAAATTGTAGACCTGCACCAGGCTGGGAAGACTGAATCTGCAATAGGTAAGCAGCTTGGTTTGAAGAAATCAACTGTGGGAGCAATTATTAGGAAATGGAAGACATACAAGACCACTGATAATCTCCCTCGATCTGGGGCTCCACGCAAGATCTCACCCCGTGGGGTCAAAATGATCACAAGAACGGTGAGCAAAAATCCCAGAACCACACGGGGGGACCTAGTGAATGACCTGCAGAGAGCTGGGACCAAAGTAACAAAGCCTACCATCAGTAACACACCGCCGCCAGGGACTCAAATCCTGCAGTGCAAGACATGTCCCCCTGCTTAAGCCAGTACATGTCCAGGCCCGTCTGAAGTTTGCTAGAGTGCATTTGGATGATCCAGAAGAGGATTGGGAGAATGTCAGATGAAACCAAAATATAACTTTTTGGTAAAAACTCAACTCGTCGTGTTTGGAGGACAAAGAATGCGAGTTGCATCCAAAGAACACCATACCTACTGTGAAGCATGGGGGTAGAAACATCATGCTTTGGGGCTGTTTTTCTGCAAAGGGACCAGGACGACTGATCCGTGTAAAGGAAAGAATGAATGGGGCCATGTATCGTGAGATTTTGAGTGAAAACCTCCTTCCATCAGCAAGGGCATTGAAGATGAAACGTGGCTGGGTCTTTCAGCATGACAATGATCCCAAACACACCGCCCGGGCAACGAAGGAGTGGCTTCGTAAGAAGCATTTCAAGGTCCTGGAGTGGCCTAGCCAGTCTCCAGATCTCAACCCCATAGAAAATCTTTGGAGGGAGTTGAAAGTCCGTGTTGCCTAGCGACAGCCCCAAAACATCCCTGCTCTAGAGGAGATCTGCATGGAGGAATGGGCCAAAATACCAGCAACAGTGTGTGAAAACCTTGTGAAGACTTACAGAAAACGTTTGACCTGTGTCATTGCCAACAAAGGGTATATAACAAAGTATTGAGAAACTTTTGTTATTGACCAAATACTTATTTTCTACCATAATTTGCAAATAAATTCATAAAAAATCCTACAATGTGATTTTCTGGATTTTCTTTTTCTCATTTTGTCTGTCATAGTTGACGTGTACCTATGATGAAAATTACAGGCCTCTCTCATATTTTTAAGTGGGAGAACTTGCACAATTGGTGGATGACTAAATACTTTTTTCCCCCCACTGTATAATTACAGGGAATAAAATATAGTCACATTACACATTGTACAGAGAGACATCTAGAGCAGGGATCTTTAACCTTTACTTTCCCATCATTTTAGCAATAAAAACTATTTTCATATCTTATCCGGTGAATGATAATGGCAAGGAGAAGCAGTCAATGAATACATTTGGTTGATAGTATTTCATTATTCTGACCTCCCCACATTATAATTGAAAGAGGAAGTGTAAACTCTAAGTCAAGAACGTTTACCAGCAGCCTGCGGCATTTGCCGCGACTGGTATTCCTTGCCGCGACTGGTAAGCCTATGTCAAATACTCCATTGAGTGTAATGAAGAACAAGTGTAATTTGGTGAGACGAATCCCGGTTCCTGTTACGTCATGCTGATGGTAGTCAGGTTTTGGCATAAGCAGCATGAGTCCATGGCCCCATCCTCCCTGGTGTCAACGGTACAGGCAGGTGGTGTACTGGTGTGGGGAATGTTTTTCTTGATACCAATTGTGCGAAGTTTGAACGCCACACCTTGTAGTATCCATGCCCCGATGAATTCAGGCTGTTCTGGAGGCAAATTGGGGTCTGACCTGGTACTAGATGGCTGTACCTAATAAACTGGCCACTCAGTGTATACTGTTATTATATACTTTAATTTAATTGGCCATCTGTTACCCACATCATGTCAAAAACGAGGGGGTTAGTGGCATAGTGTCACAGTGTTATTAATATCAATTTGATATGCAGGTGACATGATGACCCTGCTGATGAAAAAGGACACCCTGTCTGAAGAGGCCACCCAGTTCTACATCGCTGAGACTGTCCTGGCCATCGACTCCATCCACCAGCTGGGATTCATCCACAGAGACATTAAACCTGATAACCTGCTTCTGGACTCCAGGGTGAGACACTGGCCTGGTCCAGGCCTACCACCGTACACAAACAGATAGACACATGCTCAGAGACTCACACACAGAGAAGCATTCACTTACAATTTGCAGTTCGTATTGAAGGTGTGATCGGAGAGTCTTTTTTTTTTTTCTGCAGGGCCATGTAAAACTGTCAGATTTTGGTCTGTGTACGGGACTGAAGAAGGCCCACCGTACAGAGTTCTACAGGAACCTCACACACAACCCTCCCAGTGACTTCTGTGAGTCACTCTTTACAACCTGTGAATCATTAACTTTTATTTTCATTCAGACAAAATAGAATTTGTTTTTTCAGTCGTTTTTATGGTAGAACACTGCCATGTCTTTGAACTTGCAATATTCCACAGCCTTCCAAAACATGAACTCAAAGAGGAAAGCAGAGACATGGAAGAAGAACCGGAGGCAACTGGTAAGAGTTTGTGCATGTGAGAGACTATATATTGTATCGCCCGTTATATCTTTCCCATTGGTCCTTTGAGTAGGATCCCTCTCTGGGATCTCATGGATGTTTTATTAAGGATCATCTGAGCACCACAGACCTTGTGCTGTGAAACAAGCACAGCCAATACTATAGCCTTTGGGTTGTTTTTTTCTTATTAGTGTCTCCCCATCTGTTTGTGTTTTACCAACAGGCCTACTCCACAGTGGGAACACCGGACTACATTGCCCCAGAGGTGTTCCTGCAGACGGGATACAACAAGCTCTGTGACTGGTGGTCTCTGGGGGTCATCATGTATGAGATGCTAATAGGTATGTCTATGTAACCGAGTCAATTACACCATGCCCAAGTCTGTGTTTCATTATGAACTCATATGACGTTATTTAAGAATATTTTAAGAAAGTTAGCTGGCTAACTCATTGGTCCTAATTTGTAACAAACTGACAATCTCTCCTGGTGTCTCTCTCAGGGTACCCCCCGTTCTGTTCTGAGACACCCCAGGAGACGTATAGGAAGGTGATGAACTGGAAGGAGACCTTAGTCTTCCCCCCCGAGGTGCCCATCTCGGAGAGGGCCAAGGACTTGATTCTCAGGTTGGTGGTCATATGAAACCTTATAGGATATCCGCTGGTGTGTGTGTGTGTATATATCAGAGTTTATTGTCCTCTTAGGAAAAAAAATATTATTATACTTTACTGGTATAATGCTTTAGTACCTGTTATAAACATGTATGAGCCTTTTATAATGTCTTATTATAAATCTTATTAGTTAGGCCTATGTCTCCCTATCTAGCAAATTTGAAACTGACTCAAAATAGCTGTTACTCAATCATGATCATTATAAGATGATAATAAGACATAAGGGGGTCATACATGCTAATGACATGTCCTCTAATGCATTATAATTAGAGTGTAAGTCACATATCTGTAGGATGAGTTACTGAAATGCTTTTCTCAGTCTGGTACACCATCAAATGATCACACAATAATTATTCCATTCACATCCACAAAAACACGCAGTATCAAACTGCAGTGAAGTAGACATTTTATTTCAGCGCAATGGATTTCCTCTTTTGTGAAACAAAGGCTTTGGTGTTCCAACAACATGAACCCATTGCAGGTACTGTAATGATGCTGAGAACCGTGTTGGTGCTGTAAGTGTTGAGGAGATGAAGAGTCACGCCTTCTTTGAGCCTGTGGACTGGGAACACATCAGGTACGTGTTTGTTCTTCAGTACTTGTGTGTGTGTCTAAGCATGTGGGATGGCAATATCTTAAATGAGGTATAACATGCAATCACAGCCAAAAAAAAGACAAGTCACTTAGCCTTCATTGGGTTGTCTTTGATGCGTTTCAGCAAAATGCATTAGGAAAAAGGTTTTAAATAGACCAACGGCTCACATTTGCTTTCCTTCCATAGGGAAAGACCAGCCGCTATCTCCATTGAGATCAAGAGCATCGATGACACATCGAACTTTGATGAGTTCCCAGAATCAGACATCCTTCAGCCAGGTAATATTAATCACTTTGTCTCTATTACACCTTTTCATACATAAAAAGCAGCTCAAAGTTCTTCACAATCAGCATGAAATGAATGATAAAAATGTAAAAACTATTAAAGCAGAAGAAACATTTGTGCTGCAGTGCAAGTTTGCTTTGGTGCACAGGAATCTGAGTCATCTCCAGCTCATCTCTAATTTAGATTAAATAGGACCCATATTCCTGTTGTTATTCACACATTCCTACAGCTGAGATCTAGATTAATGTCCTATTCAGTGTTGCCCTCTAGTGGCAGGGAGGAGACTAACACTGGTATTAACCGTAATACACTGTTGTATATCATTTACAATCTTGTTGTTTCAGTTTCCAACGTGACTGAGCCAGACAAATCCAAGGACTGGGTGTTCCTGAACTACACCTACAAGAGGTTTGAGGGGCTGACTCAGCGAGGCACCATCCCCACCTACATGAAGGCAGGGAAGGCCTGATGAGGGCATGGGGGAAAATGGGAGAGACAATGTGGACACAGGGTTGGGCGGTAAACCCCTGCTGTGCTGAAAGCACAGGATCAAGAAGGATGAGGAGCTTCTTGGTTTCCATGCTTCACCAGGGCTTCCCTGATTGACCAGAGATCCACCAGGCACCAGACAATGGCAAGAGTCACAGGGATATAAATAACACGTATTGTCTTTTGTCTTAGGCCTTGCTTGGGCTGTTAAAGGGGAAGTTTGTGTTTTACAACTTAATGTTAGATGGTTCCTCATCCTGAAAAAACGGAACCTCCCCCTTTTTTAAGCGACTACTACTAGGTGACTAAATCAACGGACGCTTTCCTCTGCCCAGGCGTTGCTGACGCATGCCAGATCTTACAACACCTGGATAAGTATTTTACCTATCGGCTAACCACATCATATGTTATAGCAATCTGGTGCCCGGCGACGGCACAGTCAATGATGTGGTACACAACCATTGGTTGACGCATGCAATGTCTGAGCGGGGAACGCAACCATCATATCTGCATGTTTACAAACTGATTTGCAGGGTCTAAAATGCTGTAGAAGGACCCCCACACACAGGGTATTCGTTGGGGGGAGCAGTTGGTGGTTATCCTAGTGACCTCATATGACTGAAGAAAAATGCATATAGTTAATGTTAAGTAATGTTGTTTGCTAAACTTGTAGATATACAAAGTTCTAAGCTTTCAAGTCTTTTATGGGTGCCACGTTAGTCAAAAAGTTTCAATACTGTTTTCATTCTAGTTACAATGCAAATAATAATCATTCTGTCATGGAACGTTCGCTGCCAACATGGAGTATGGTGAGCCATACGTACATGTATCTATTGCTCTGGGATTAATCCATTGTATCTATTTAATGCCTTGATAATCTGGAATTAATAGATCTATAAATTATTTAATGGTGTGAAAGATTCATAGAAAAGTGTTGTATTCTAGTGGTTGAGATTAGAAACTAATGTATAAGCAGATTTGTTTTTGCAAGTTAGAGGACAAGTCATGAATGTAAATTAAAATTCAATGCAATTAATGCTTAAAGGTAGCAATATGACGTAGATGCAGAAATTAAACAGCATATTGGGTCAATTTCCACAACTAAGAGCGTTGAAGTGTGAGGCTCAACTTCTCTGCTTTTTTGGTCCCGTGGCTACCACGCTGTATACGGTATGAAGCGAACCCGGGCACATGTGCAGATGCTGTGTGTGACTGCGGGAGTATGACATCTTGCATCTCGCTCATCTCAATATCTGCGGTGCTGCTCGTGGCAATGCCATTTCGCTGAGTCTAAATTTACAGTAGTTACATTTCTGTTCAAATTTATTGACAAATATCAGATGGCACCTTTTTTTAAAGTACATCGGAATTCATGTTTGATCTCCACTTCACATCGCTCACCTAAATTCATCCATTTAAGATAGGAACTACATTTTCAATTAAATGTACGTTTTATAGTCAACATTTCCTAAACTTTACTGAACCCCCGCTGTGTGTGATTTCATATAGATATTCAAATATAGGTGTCAAACATTTCAGCGATTCTGATTTAGTTGTGCTGAGGTGGTCAGCACAACTTGCATATTCAATAAATTAAACACATGTAATGTTGCCCTGGCTATCTGGCACAGGTCAAAGTTCAAAGGCTATGTGATCTGGAGCAGGTGTAAAATATTATTATTATTATAAAATCAATGTATCAAATGATTTATTTTGACAATGAACAAATTGCTAAATCCCCAAATGTTTGCAGTAGTGAACACCCAAACACATCACAAATTAGGGTGCGTCATGACAAATTAAAGTGTTGATGACTAAAACGAAATACCTAAAATATAACAATGCAAGCAGATACCCATAGACTTCCAGTCATTGCGTTAACGCTAGTTAGCATTAGCTCGCGAAACTACCTCTAACTTCCTTCATTCTGGTATCCACGACTTCATCTGACTCTGGGGAAGTAGATAAAGGGCCTCATTGCCAAAATCCCGAAGTATCCCTTTAACTTGTAAATTATTCAAGAAGGGAAATAAAAACGAATATTGTTTACATAGAGAAGAAGAGTTAAGGTACATTTTATAAAAAGTAGTTTTCCTCAAATTCATTATTTGATGCATTTGTTCCTCAGTCTTTAACCGGAACATGTTGCAAAATATATTAAAGGGATAGTTCACCAAGATTACAAAATGACACATTGGTTTCCTTACCCTTTAATAAGCAGGCTATGCTTTGGTTTTAATTTCCCTGGGTTGGCACTGGGAGGGAGCAGGAAGGGGTTGTGTATGTGTGGAAGAGGATTTGCAGAAAATGCTGAAAGTAGCTAGGTTTCCATCCAATTGGCGACAGATTTTCATGCGATTATTTTCAAGTCCGCATAAAAACAAAGTGCATTTTCCCACCTGAGAGGTTTCCATCAAATTGACTTGTGGAGAAAAGGCTGTGCATGATGACGTAGTGCACATAAAATATTTTTTGCGGTTAAATTGCCATGTAAGCATTTTCAGCTGTGCTGATGCTTTTGTCACAACAAATGTTGCGTAATTTTACATTTTAGTCATTTAGCAGACGCTCTTATCCAGAGCGACTTACAGTTAGTGAGTGCATACATTTTTCATACTGGCGCCCCGTGGGAATCGAACCCACAACCCTGGCGTTGCAAGCGCCATGCTCTACCAACAGAGCTACAGGAGGCGTTATGTAGTGAATGTGCCCACTCTGGTCTTGGCACGTGCGCTCTAGCCAACAGCTTGTATATACCTACATGATAAGATTATTATGGATAAGAGCAAGATGTGTGTGTGTATATATATATTTTTTTTTTCAAACGCCAGCCAAGCATTGATCGTCTTTCCAGAGTAAGACCCTCGATATTTATTGGAAAGGAGGATCAAACTCATCATTGTGCACTTTCACCACGGGTTTAGTTCATAATTTATTTAATCTGTAGCGTAATAAACTGCATGCTTTCCCGTGTCGTATTGGGAGGACCACGCAATATCATCGCGTGACTCCAAGTTCACTTCGATATGATGTTCATTATATCAATACATGCCCATAAAGGGGTTTCCACCGCCATTTATAGCTTAATTAATTTTAACCGCACAAAGATCTAGCGTATTTTGTTTTGTCGACATTTGTGAAGTTTACCGTCAAATGTGTCGTCATATGTTTTATCCAACATTTACTTTACTCGCATAAAAAGGTTGGATGGAAACCTAGTTAGTTATTTTGCCAACAATGTTTTCCTGTGAGGTATGTGCTAGTGTTTTAATGAACCCTGTTGTTTCCTATTCCTGGGAAAGGAGACCGCAAGAGGATTTCGTTGGATGGAAGATAATTATTTGGTATCGAATACACAAAAAAAATTATTTGTGTAGATATGACTTGATATCCATCGAGTAAATAATTAGTTAAACTGTCTTTCACAGCAAACAACAGTATATTCCATAGGTACATTCTCATAATATAGGCAACTCTACATTATGGTCTTGAAGACAGTTGGACCAAGCGATTGTAGTGCATATTGTATAACTGCAATAGATACTTGCAATAGATTGCTTGTTTGTTACATTCATAATCACTGTTTTGATGAAATAGTTAGGGAGCCACACAGAGGATATGACTGAACTGGAAGCCTACCGTGATGTCTATTTCACTAGGGGATAAATGGTACTGACAAAGTGTAACCACGCTAAAACCAAATGAACTTCATATAATGGCCTCTGTCTCAGAAGGTCTTACACAGGCAGCCCAATTCTGATATTTTTTCCTACTTATTAGTCTTCGGACCAATCACATTAGATCTTTTCACATCAGATATTTTTCAGAGATGATCTGATTGGTTAAAAAAATACCAATTAGTGAAAAAAATGATCATAATTGGTCTGCCTGTGTAAACGCAACCTTAGTTTTATAGATTTGTTTTCTTCAATAGGTTCTAATCTTAGCGTTAGTCGGCCATTGTTTTGCATGCCCATTACCTGTTGCCTCAGGACAATGATCCAGTGTAACTGAATGGTAAAGGGAGTAAGTGAACACTGACTAAGGATGTGATGAGTGTTTTATGTTGTTTGTGTGTAATAGGTAGAGTAAGGATGGATGGGCTAATTAATATATTCACTGTAGAACTATATATGTACAAAACCTTTTGAATATTTGAGTTCACAAATACTGAAATAAACGATTCCAAAACTACAAAGCCCAGAATGATTTAGAACTTTGGGAACCAGGCTCCATATTGGTACAAAAAGGATACAAACTGATTAGTCACGACATCGGTTTCCTATCTTACTGTGACCAAAATGTTAAGGATAAGAAATAATGAGCATGCAGTCAGATTTCTGCAGCTGAAAATGATCCTTATGCCAGTAGGGTGCGCCATTGACTTGCGCTAAGACCAACATCAGTTGAGTGCAGACAATTCTATCAAAAGTGTCAACTTGTTTCTGAATGAAGTCGAGGGTAGTTTTCATTTGTCAGGTGCTTGTGAAACATGTTCTGTATGTATGTATACTGAACAAAAATATAAACGCAACATTTAGAGTGGAGTGTTGTAGAGAATCGAAGGACCATGAATGTAATAGAAACCTTAGGTGCTGTTTTAAGGCCGGTAGCAACCACTACAGAATGTCCGGTCAGAACAAGGATGAGGCGGATGTTCAGGTTAAGGGGAGTTTAATGGAAGATGTCCACATCCACACACACACACCTGACCACTCATGGTTCAGATAACTGAGAATCATGTCCAGTGATAACTGACATTAACTATGTGGTTCTGAAAGGAAAGCAGAGAAATAAAATGTCTGCTATAGCACTGCTATAATATGAATGCCATGGCTGTATAAGCTAGCACAGGTAAGTATATAACAGCAAGGGCTATACACTACAGCATGCATAAGGCCTATATATATATGTATGTATGTGTGTATATATATATATATATATATATATATATATATATATATATATGTATGTATATGTGTATATGTATGTGTATATATATGTATATGTGTATATGTATGTGTATATATGTATATGTGTGTGTGTGTATATATATATATATGTAGGTTCACTTTATAATAACTCATGAATAAGCTATTATACATGTTTTATACTGTATGCTTATACTACTAGCCCAATGGCCGGCAGATGGCGATATTGAGCCGTTCCATCTTAAGGGCATGTATACACTTGTATCCCCATGGACCGGTTCGTACATTAAACATTCTCCATTCAGGCTGCAAAGGCGCAACGTTCCCCCTTAACTCGATTTAATGGCGAAAAGGTGAGAAAAAAACAGGAAAAATATGCTGCGACCTGATTGGCTGAACGCGATACACAACATCCAGGACTAGCCCCTCTAGCAAGGTGGTGGAAAATAGTGTTTCATAAAGAAAGTGCATATTTTTCCTGTTTTTTTTCTCACCTTCTCGCCATTAAATTGAGTTAAGGAGCCTGAA